ACTCTTTTGCAGTAGCAGGGAGCTCTGGTGGCCTAGTGGTAAGGAATTGCACTGCCACCACAGTGGCAAACAGTTCAAACCCACCAGCTGCTTTGTAGGATAAACCTGGACAATTTACTGTCGCTGAGCACCTGCTGAAGGGTCAGCTATAAGTCGGTTCTGACCCAATTGCTGAAGGGTCAGCTGTAAGTCTGTTCTGACCCAGTAGTATATGAGTTCATTAAAGGGTGTTCTATTTCCAAAGTGTCATCTGAAAGTAATCTTTGGTGGTCAAGGCTCCATCTATGACAGAAAATGCCAGTGTGAGACCTTTTAGAATGTTTCTCCTCGATTCTAGAGAAGGAGATAGCTATGTATCAATATATAGATACATATCTACACACACACACTCTCTCTCTCTCTCTCCCTAGCAGTGGTCTAAGAGATGTTCTCCAAATTACCCTTCAATACCTGGCTGGCTTTTGTATACAGGAAGTACTTAAGAAGTACTTATTAATATCCATCTGTCTCCTAGGTTTGCAGAGAAGAAAGTAAGTAGAAATTGATGAAGGTAGAAAGAAAGATTAGTAATGTAGAAGTGACTCATACTTTGTATGGTTAATATAAATAGTTGAATTTTACCATTACTTCTTAATAGATTTTGTTTTGTCTGTTTGAAAATTCCATAATAAGTAAATAAATACTTAAGTATTCATATTCTTTTCTATCTTGAGATTATGTTTTTATGGTGGTTGGTTCTTTTGAGATCCTTTTACTTTACTGGCAAAAAGGAAAGATACAGAGAGTGTTCATAACCAAATATCCTGAGAGAATGAGTTGCTGGTTCTAGGGCCTTGATACCATAACCTTGGAGTACCACAAGAAATGTTACTTGGAATAATATAATCCCCAAAGACAGTATTCTATACCCTTCTTGGGTAAAAGGATCTCTGGGTACCTAGTGGGTAAGGGGTTGCACTGCCAAACCAAAGGCATGTAATTGGAATCCACCTGCTGCTCTGTGAGAGAAGGATGGGCAGTCTCCTCCCATGGGATTTAGAGCCTCTAAAAACCTACTGGATGGTCCGTTATGAATTGATTTCAACTTGACAGCACCTAACAACTTTGATGAGTAGTGACTGTGATCTTAAAAACTTGCAAGCCCCCGTCTTAAATGCAACTCTTTGTCTTTCCCTATCCACAACAAAGAGGGAAGAAAAGCAAAGATCCACTTTAACAATCCAGAGTATCACTTTAACTTCAGCTTCCATTGTACCAAGATCAGACAAACTAAATGGTACTGAGCTGCTACTGCTGACCACTGTAAAAAGGATCATAGCAGAAAATGCTGGTTAGAGCAAAGGAGTTAAGGAACTGAACTCAAAACCAGAAAAGTTTGTGGATCTGATAGAGCCTAATGGTACCTCCAAAAACTATGACCCTTATTCACTCTCCAAACCTGGAACAGAGCTTACCTCCTGGGCAGCCAGACAGTAGACAAATCTATAATATAATCAACAATACTACCAGGCTTTCCCTCTTTAGAACAGCCAAGCATGGAGCCACAAAGGGCATCATTTACTCAAGGATAAAGCCCTGAAGGCAGGAAAGGGCAGGATAGAAGGATTAATGGAGACTGGATTACAGGGAGTAGATGGGGAAAGTGTTACTATATTGTGGGTTTTCTATATAATGTTATAAAGCAAATGTGTATGAATGTTTGAATGAAAAACCAGACTGCTTTGTAAACTTTTACTCAAATCACAATTTTAAAAGGTGGCCTATTATACCTGGTTCCCTCCACAGTTTGATGTGTTTCTGGGCTTGAGTTTGGGTCAATGAGATAATGTGTCTGTGATCAGAGATGATGTAGTGGGCAGTTCCAGTCATTGTTCTTGATGTCACTTTGGGGGACAGCCTTTACTGTGCATGTCAGGATCATGAGGCACTTAGGTCCAATGCAGGAGGACCCTGACCCTAGCCACTTCTTGGCACTTCCTCAGAACCTTCCCTTTGCTCCCAACATGAGCTTCACCAGTTCTTTCCTAATGGTAAACACTCTTTTCACTCTTTGTTTCTGCCTGTCTTTAGCTTGATTCTGACCCATACAGGTTTATCATGGGTTCGACATTGGAAAAGAAGTCGTGAGTTTAGATCCTTAAGTCTAGTGAACAGAGGAGGAAAAAGAAGGTCAACGTGATTTGATACAGTATGTTTTACTGCAGCAAACAGAAGTCTTCAGCCTTAAATATTTTAATTTACTGAGAATGTTTCTTTAAAATCATTTTCAATGAGTATTTCCAGTGTTTTCATTTATTCTTGAGTCTTTCATAAAAATTAAGATGCCTGTCATGATTTCCCAGGGTGCTCAGTGGAGGCAGGGACGGCAAAGCTTCTTCTCTCATACTTTGGACCTGTTGCTGGGAGGGGCTGTTTGCAAAGGTGGAGAATCAACAAGAGAGGGAAGACCCTCAACAAGATGGCTTGGCACAGTGACTGCAGCAATGGGCTTAGACATGTCGGAGATGATGAGAACGGCACAGCGTAGGACAGAGTTCAGATCTGTTGTTCATAGGGTTGCTGTGAGTCAGACTGCAATCGAGGGGACCTAACAATAACAAGTTATTTTATATATACATATAACATGCATATAAATTTAATGCTTATTTTACATATACATAAACAGTTTATATATATAAATAAATTCCTTCAGTAGATGGGTGGAATGCCTTCAATATCATAGAAATTTTTTTAAGATCCTATTTAGTGTTTGTTGTTGTTGTTGTTATGTGCCGTCGAGTCGTTTGCGACTCATAGCAACCCTATGTACAGCAACCCTAGACCCTGCTCTATCCTCTGCCAATCGCACTGCCTCTGACACACTCATCCCGATTACCCCAGTCACTGAATCAGTCCACCTCATAGAGGTTCTTCCCCTCCTGCACTGTCTCTCCACCCTCCCAAGCATGATGTCCCTCTCCAAGGACCTGTCCCTCCTTACAACATGTCCAAAGTATGTTAAACAAAGCCCCAGAATCCTTGCCTCCAAGGAGTAGCCTGGCTTAACCCTCTCCAGGATGAATCTATTTGTTTTCTTCTTCTTAATTTATGCATATTCAGCCATAGAGAAGCAATCTCTTTATTGTTATCAAAATACATTTTAAAAATGATATAATATGTATAGCAAACACTTGCCATTTAAACATATATTGTTGTTGTTTTGTGTTGTCGAGTCGCTTGCAACTCTCAGCAACCCTATATACAACAGCTCTGAACCCTACTCTATCCTGTGCCAGTCTTTTTGTCTCTGACACACCTATCCCTATTAACCCAGCCACTAAGTCAGTCCATCTCATCGAAGGTCTTCCTGTCTTGAGTTGTACACACACAATTTAGTGACATTGATTATATTTATATGTTGTGTAGCTGTCTACACTATTTGTTTCCAACCAAGAAAACAAATAGGTCTGTTTTGGAGAAGGTGAAACCAAGTTTCTCCTTGGAGGCTAGCATTTTAAGCTGTGCCTCACAGTCTTTGGGCATGTGATCAGAAAGGACCAATCCTTGGAGAAGAACATCATGCTTGGAAGAGTGGAGGGACAGGTCAGGAAAGGAAGACCCCCAGATGAGATGGGTTGACACAGTAACTGGGGCAATGGGAGTAGGTGTGTCAGAGTCAGTGAGACTGGCTCAGGACAGGGCAGGCTTCAGAGCTGTTGTACACGGGATTGCTCTGAGTTACGGGTGACTCAATGGCACATAACCACAGCTTTAACCTCCTTGGTGTCCTTTAAGTAGTGACTCTTCCTTTCCCCCTAATAACCCATCAAACTTGTTGAACTTTGGTCTCCATTTGCCTATTTTAGGTATTTCATATTAATGGAGTCAGGCTCTCTGTATTTATGTGACTGACTGATAACTCAGCATATTGTAAATGGTCAAAAGACTGTTAATCACACATTCTTTTATGTAATCTCTGTTCCCATTTATTGGAAGTTCACATCTATTATTTCTCTAACAAGCTAAGAATATCATGATTCAGTGAAGGTGGATGACAAGCACCTTCACTGGTTTTCAGAGGTGAGTCTACAGCACTTAGCTCTGAAATCCTCATTATCTACATGAGTGCGTTTTGTCAAATGAGATCATCCCTAATTTAGATGTCAAGGCCAATGAAAAGTAAAGAGCCGTGGCCACCAGTAAAAGAGAGTTGTCTAGCATTTTTGAGGAAACGGTGCTAGAGTAGTGTGACTGTTTTGAAAGGTGACTGTTTAAAGTATTGTCAGTGGAAGTAGAGTCTTAGGAAGTAAATGTTGAAATATGGAGACTTCTCATTGTTAAGATAATTTAAAAACTGATTGTATTCACATGAAAACAATATATTTATAGTACTAATTTCTGAGAATAGAAGTCTATTGGGAGCTTTGATGTTGTGTATGGGTCCTTTCAGTCTGTCTGAACTTTGTTGGTTTGAGTAGTATTTGGGGTTGGAAGGTTCAGAATTGTGTTTAATGAAATTTTTCTGAGTTGTAGACATGTAGAGTGAAGTCCACCTCTAAGAAGACTGATCCTATGTTTTAGTTGGATTTCAAGTTATTCGGCCTATTTGTGATCTACCCTACCAAGTTTTTGAAAAATATTTTCAGAATTTATCCAGGAACATGCACTGTTTGAGGTCACTTTTCTAGTCATTTTGCTGTGAGCATCCAGGTGTGGAAGAGCAATTTCAGTCTTGATCTCAGTTGGGAGGAACTGGTCCTTATCAGCAGGTCAGCCTGCTGTCCTACAAATAAATGACGTGATGAGCATGTGCTCACACTGAGAATGAACGGGATGTGGCACATCACACATCAAACAAAGATCAACACCAGCAGACCACTTTTCATCCTCTGTGGCGATAACCTTTATCAGCATCACCCGAATGCCCTGCTGTGTACACAGAGTTCTACATCTACTGGCATTTGTGGTGTTGAAATTTGTCCAAACATTTTGTTTCTAAGGTTGTTTCTTTTTCTGAACAGATATCAGTATTACCTGCAAGTCAAAAAAGATGTGCTTGAAGGACGGCTGCGGTGTACAGTGGAACAGGTGATTCGGCTTGCTGGCTTAGCGGTTCAAGGTAAGATACAGTTATGGCTGCTGTGTGAGGCTCCTTGATCAACTTAGTTAGAATGACTCTTTCTTATTGTGGAAAGAGTGTGTGTGTGTGTGTGTGTGTGTGTGTGTAACATTTGATTCTTCAATGTTCTTTACAATGTAGTGATACTAGTTATATTTATCCTGCTATTCAGTCTTCACCATTGTACATTCCCAATGTTTTCCATTTCCTGTAATAGAAATTCATTATCCTCCAAGAAGTGCCTCCTTCTCTCTTCCTCTTTCCCTCCTCTACAACCACTAATAAACTTTGATCTCTCTTGTTGTTTTATACCATTGAGTTATTACCAACTTGTCTCAGACCCTCTAGTGGATTTTCATAGGCAGTAAATTCATGTGAGAGAAGATTGCCCATGTTTCTCCCTCAGGGCAGCTGGTGGATTTGAACCGTCTGCCTTTAAGTTGGTGATGCCTGTTTTAGTATTTTATACAAACAGAATATTGCAGGGTTTTTTTACCCTTTGCAATTAACTGTCTTCACTCTACTTCTCAAGATTCATGCATATTGTAGCATGCATCAGAATTTCATTTCTCAGAGTAATTATCTTCATTTCACAATATCTTACATTAAAATGCACAAGTAGTGAGTTGTAGTGGCAAGACAGTAGATTTCTATTTGAAAACTGTTCATGCTTATGTAATTTCAGTTTTATTTGAAGAAAATAGTGACTATTATCCTATCTTTCCTTAAAGCTACATTTCAGAGCTTATGGAATATTTTCTCAGAATTATTCTGCTGTGCAATGTGGTCATATTCTGTGACTTGATGCTGTAATTACATATTGTCACTGCAGTTCTGAAGATGTCTTTACACATAATAGTTAACTTTATTCTGGTACTATTAGCAATATTAAGAATGCTTAACTGTAATATGTAATAATAAATGTGTGTTAGTCTGTCTTGCAGTTTTCCCCATATAGATTCATCAGAATGTTATTCGTTAATTTTCCTAAAAGGTCATATTAAATACAATTGATTTTTATTATTTGTAATAGTGATACTCTGTAAAGTGGCATGAGCACTAAGTCCGTAAATATTGTTTGTAAAAGAATGCAGGAATGAGTCCTTTCAAAACTCTTATCACACCAGATCATTTTTGTCAATGGATCAGTATATAACCTTGTTTTATGTGTGTTTATGTTCAAGACAACTTACTTAATATGCAGGGAGCTCTGGTGGCCCGTAGGGAAGGAGCTGTGCTGCCACACAACAGTAAGGGACACTTCTATATAGTATGAGAGTAGAAAACATGCAGCCTGTGTCACCTTGTTTGATCTCACCTGGGGTAATATGCACCCAGTGACTCAATTTTTGTTGTTGTTGCCACTGTGGAAACTTACACACAACTTCAAATATGCTGGGAGTATTGATTTTTTTAGTTACAAATAAGTCAACAATTTATAGATCCAAAATCTGCAAATAATGAGGATCAACTATAATTTATACATTGCTCTTTACTGAATAGTAGTTTCGTTAACCTGTGTTCTTATGGTTGCTATGTGCCATCAACTACAACTCATAGTGACCCTATGAAGAATACCTCTGAATCTTTTCCTATCTTAAGCCAGTCTCACTGTCTCTGACACACTTGCCCCATTACCACAGCCATTGTGTCAATCCACCTCAACCATGGTCTTCCTCTCCTACACTGACCCTTCACTCTTTTCAACCTCCTGGTAGCATGACCAGAGTATGTGAAATAGAGCTTCCACAGTCCTTGTCTTCAAGGAGAAACCTGATTTCACCCTCTCTGGGACGGGACTGTTTGTTCTCCTGGCAGTCCATGGTATCTTCAGCACTCTTCTCCAACACTACAACTCCAAGACATCGATTCTTTGATTCTTCTATAATTCTTAGTTATTGTCAAGTTTTCAGATGCATAGCAAGTAATTGAGAAGACCATGGCTTGGATCAGCCACACCTTAGTCACTAGACTATCAGACATCATTGTTCCTGGAGAGGTTCCTAATAGCAACTCATCTTGTGGTTTCCTAAGTGCTTATGTCAAGAGTGTCAATTGTGGCCCCAAGCAATATTAAATTGGTAACAACTACAGTCTTTTCTCCATCTATCATGTTGCTGCCAATTAGCCCAGTAGTGAGAATCTTTGTCTTCTTGATGTTGAGCTTCAATTCATATTGAAAACTGCAGTCCTTGACTATCTGTAGCGAACACTTCAGGTCCTCCTTGGTTTTGATGAGCTTGGATATCATGCTTGGAAGATTGGAGGGATAGAAAAAGAGGAAAACCATCAATGAGATGGATTGATTCAGTGACTAGGGTAATGGACATAGGTGTGTCAGTAAAGTTGGCACAGGATAGAATAGGTTTCAGGGATATTGTCACAAATGACTCGACAGCACATAACAATAGCAGCAACATACAAGTGCAAGCCTTCATTTTTTTTTTTTTTGCAAGCCTTCATTTTTGCTATTGTGTTGGAAACGGCAAACCCAACTTCCTGTTCCAAATTCTGAACTGAAATGGAATTTTTTATGTTCTAAGCATCTGGAAAGATGGCATTTTCTTGACCTTGACCATTCCAAGTCAAGCTACTTCAAGATTATTTCTGCTGGAACTCCTATTGCTACCATGACAATAAAAATAAGCCACATAAGTTGTATCAGAACCCACAGCCTAAAACCTGGGAGGGGAAGAAGTCAAAAATCAGTTTTAATAGAAAACCCAACAGTAGCTTTATTGAAATTACAGAGTTGACACCTTTAATAGAAGCAGGAGACTACAGAATACATTCTACTTCAGACTGAGTGGGATTTTTTACCCCTTTATAAAGTACATTCTTCCTCATTTACTTTGTTTCTTACTCTTTTTTTTCGCTTCTCTTGACTGAATCATTAGCCTTATTTTAGGTATCCTGGGTTTTGGAGGTTCCTGATGCGAGCTTTCAGGTTGAATAACTAGTGAACTTTTTCTGGGTTCCTTATACATGGGTTCTTGAAGTCCAATCTAATGAAACTACTCTTAGATGTAGTTAGTATTCTTCAACTACTTTTCTCGATGTCAGCAGATAGGTAAGTTGTGATGAAATATGATCCCTAGTTAGTAAACTTGAGAATAGTTGAAATCTTTGTCACTCCTGAATATTGCACCTGATAATACATTATGTGTTGAATTTGTCAGGATTTTTACTTCTTCAGCCACTTGGTGTATGTCCTCATTCTGTATCTACTATTACACTGAAGATTCCTGCATACATTTCTAACTTGTAAATCTTGCACATGCAGATGCCACTCTGGTTTGACTTCTGTGAGAGTGAGTGGTATCACAAGCGAGATGTGTATATATTTATACCAGGCTCACTGGCTTTGCCTTACACATGTTTAAACATACCATTGTGGGATTTAAAAAAAATTACTTTTAAACCTTGAGGAAAATGGAAATCTCAGAACACCTGATCATGCTTATATGAAACCTATACCTGGACCAAGAAGCAGTCCTCAGAACAGAGCAAGGAAACACTGTATGGTTTAAAATCAGGAAAGGAGTACATCAGGGATCCATTCTGTCCCTGTACCTTTTCAATCTGTATGCAGAACAGATCATTCAGGAAGTTGGGTTTTATGAGGAGGAGTGTAGCATCAAGATTGGAGGAAGACTCGTTAACAACCTACAATATGCAGATGGCACAACCTTCCTTGCTGAAACTGAAGAAGACCTGAAGCACTTGCTGCAAAAGGTCAAGGACTGTAGTCTTCAGTATGGATTGTAGCTCAACATCAAGAAGATAAAGATTCTCGCCACTGGGCCAATTGGCAACACAATATTAGATGGAGAAGAGATTGAAGTTGTTAGCAGTTACAGCTGCTTGGATCCACAGTCAAAACTATTAATTAACACCAGCAGTCAGAAAAATTAAAAGATGAATTACATTGGGAAAATCTGCTGTCATGGACTTCTCTAGAGTGCTGAAGAGCAACCATGTTCAGTCTAGATACAAAGGTGCTCCTAATCCAGGCCATCGTCTTTTTAATTACTTATTGTGCTTCAGAGAGTTGGACAATGACTAAGGATGACAGAAGAAATGATGCCTTTGAGTTGTGGTGCTGGTGAAGAGTCTTGAACATACCATGGACCACCAAGAAAACAAATAGGTCTGTCTTAGAAAGGGTGAAATCAAGTTTCTTCTTGGAGGCTAGGATTTTGAAGCTCTGCCTCACTTACTTTGGGCATGTAGGCAGGAGAGATTGGTCCTTGGAGAAGGACATCATCTCAGAAGGGTGGACGGACAGTGCAGGAGAGGGAGACCTCTCATGAGATGGATTGGTACAGTAACCGGGTCAATGGGTTGGTGTGTCGGAATTAGTGAGACTGGCTCAGGACCGGGAAAGGTTAGAGCTGCTGTACATAGGGTTGCTATACATCGCAGGTGACTCAGTGGCATGTAATAACAGTAACATGTTATGGCAGATTTGGAAGCAGGAGTGACATCCACTTCCTCAATAACATGCCTCTGGAAACTCTTATGAACTTTGATAAATGTTGATAGTTGTAGAGGGGCTTCAAGCCTTTTGTTCATAGGGTCGCTATGAGTCGTGCTTGACTCGAAGACAATCAACAACAACTTTTAAACAGGACAAACTGGAATGTTTAGCATTTTGCAGCTTGGAAAGTTGTTTAGGAGGTGTGGAGATGTGCAAGTTTGCTTGCCAAACGTGTATTACAGTGGGACTTTTCAGCTGTGAATATATAAGATGCAGGGGAGTTTTACTCTTCACTTGTCCAAATTAACCTTGGGTTTTAAAGTTCCCTTGGCAGACATTTGTAGGAGATGAGTAAATGCATAATTAACAAACAGATAAGTATAGACTCAACTAAGAATAAAAAAAAAAGAAAGTATACAGTACTCCTTAGGACTCAACTTTCCCATTTCCTGTTCTCCCCAGAAATGCTCACATGCTGGTATTTATAGCATTGCTAAGTAAAGTGCTCACTGTATCCAAAACATCCTTGCCTATTTTTGCTTAATAATACAGAAGATTCAATGGGAAGGTTAAGTGTGATGATAAATTTACCCTGTTTTATTCCAGCTTTGATTTCATATAATAAATGCTTTCCCTTACCCCTTTGCTTTCCCTCCCCTCCTTCTCAGCTGATTTTGGAGATTATAATCAGTTTGATTCTCAAGATTTCCTGAGAGAATATGTGCTTTTTCCTATGGTAAGTGTAATTTCCTTTTTCTTAATTAATTGTCAGTCTTCTCTTATCTTTTAAATCTTTCCTTTGAAAACCCTGAGAATTTTACACACACACATTCCTTGCAGAGGGAAGTTCATGCATTTATAAAACAAGGATGTGTTTTGTGAAAGGTTGAGAAGGTGAATGTGCCCTCCCTGGACTTCAGGATGCTCCCCCGCTCTCCATCCCCAGCTAGCTTGCTCCCAGCCTCCATGACGGTGGCATGAACCCTTTCTGAACACACTGAGCTGCTCCCCATCCAGGCCGTCTGCTGGGAGTGCGCTGCCCCATTTCCCATGAGTGCCTTCTTTTTACCATTCAGTTTGGAAGAGCAGTCTGTCTCCTCCTTGCCCATCAGCCTGATTCAGTGCAGCCGCTCTCTGTTGGATCCCTTTTAACATGGATGTGTGTCAAGACTCAGTCGTTATCTGCAGTTGTTCTTTATGCATCAATTATCACTTGGAATTCCAGCTCTGTGTTTCTTAAGAAGTGACCACTTTCTTCCTGTCCACTATTCCTTGGCACATATATGCGCTCATGAAAGTTTCTTGAGTGAACTAACCAAGTAAATATCCATTCCTGGTTAAGCCAAGAATGAGACTAGGTTTTAACCTCCAGGAAGTTTTTGTTAGTTAACTGGTTGGTTTTTGTTTGTTTGTTTGTTTGTTTGTCCTGAGGGTAATGTCAGAGAAATGAGAAGGGTTTTGTGGAATAATTCTTGTCTTTATTTTCTTTGTTTGTTGCTGTTGTGTCATGTGTGTAGAGTCAAATTTTTCCATTGGGTTTTCAAGGCTATAATCTTTTCCAAGCAGTCTCTAGGCTTGTCTCTCTCAGCTGCCTTTGGGTGGATTTGAACTGCCAGTCTTTTAGTCAGTGGTTTGATTTACCCATTTGTGCTACATAGCAACTCATGATCATCAACCATTTATTGTTATTTTTTTTATAAAAATCTGTTTTTAAGGCACCCACCTGAGCACTACAGGGGTAGATAAGGAAGCCTATTCTCAAAAAGCCTGCCGTGTAGCTTCAGAATTAGAAGGCAAGGCCAAAAGCATGTAGAACAGTCGGGATTTTATATGAGGAGAGGTTACAGGTGTTTGGGGTTTAAGAAAGGCTTAAAGCCTTAATGGTGTGCAAGTTTCTTTTTAAAGGAGGGGCAGGATCACAACAGGAAGAGACAGCAGGGAGCCAGGAATGATGTGGCTAGAGAAACAGGCCAGGAGACCTTGGTGTTTGAGAGAGTTAATTGGGCATGCTGCCTATAACTCAGGAGTCTTAGAGGGGGCAGAGGAAGGTGAGATTGGAACCGTCTAAGGAGTTAGAATACATGTTGGGCTTCTTGAGGCTTGTGCTTTGAAAATCACTGGATTCAAACAATGGGACTGTTTAGAGAAGGTCAGTTGTAGTCATCTGAGGCAAGAAGTGTAGTTTAGTTATTAGCAAGGAAGATAAAAACAAGGAAGGAAAGCAAGAGATTTGGGAAGTAAAGTGGGCAGAACTTAGCATAGAAATGATTGTGACAGACAAGGGTGTATGGGTAGGGGAGGTACAGAATGGAGCATCTGATGACAAAGGTTCTACGTTTTAAGATCTTTCAAATAGGCTACTGCAGTCTATGCCATGAAACAAAGTGTGCATACATTGTTTGAAAACCAATTTGCTCTGTAAAGTTTAACTCAAATCACAAAAGTTTGTAGATCTGGTTGGTTGTTTTTTAAGTAAACCTAGAGCTTTCTCTATATCAGTACACTAGATAAATTTTAAATTGAGCCAAAGCTAACTTCATTCTTACTGGTTAGGGAGTGACTAAGCCACCAGAGTAATAGTGGTTAGGGCTCTGTTAACTCTAGCTATGAAGTCACCTTCATTCCGCAATTAGCACATCTCTTAGCAGAAAAGTACTTCATGATGTAAAGTCGCAGACTCAAGAAAGGAACAGGATGTGAGAAAGCTTATAGGCAGTTTTATTAAGGGATCTCCTGGGTGAAGTTTCTTGGTCTGGAAATAGAGGCCGAGGAAGTGGCGCCTAAGATGTATTCTGGGCAGGTTTTTGTAATAGGGTCTTGGAGAAGGAGAAGGACATTCCACTGTAGTTAGTCGTTGGTCACACCAGGTGGGTTAGTCTGTTAATTCTTCTTGTTGACATGCTGCAATTCCCAGTGTGCTGACGGACCACAATCTTCAGTTGACCGATCACAGAACTGAAGAATATGACATGTCACCATAGGCACAGAAGGACAAGGACGAGACAAATTCATCATCCCTCCCCCCGACCTCAGTTTCAGGCCCAACACTTGGGACTAGGCATCATTGTCATCCTACCCAAATGAACATCTCCAGCATCTCAAAAGCTCATTTCAAAAAGCAGGATGTTACCCAGCATACCTGCCAGGAGGTAAAGGAAGCTTAGAATTTTAGCAAGTGTACATTTTATTGTCAAGCAAAATAGAAGGAATTGGGTTGATAGTTTCTCAATGGTTTTTCACCTACTTTTTAATCAGTCACATACAGTCAGTTACAGACAGAAATCAGAGTTGAGAGCTTCTCAGAACATTTAAAGAGCGAGTTTATTTTGTTTTGTTTTTAACAAGCAAACTATTTACATCCCTCCACCTCGTGTGTGTCAGAGTGCACTTGCGCCCCATAGGAGTTTCATCCAGATGTGGGGATAGGAAAACAAAGCAGAAGGAAACGGTACCTGAGAGAACTGAGCTCTGAAGAATGCGACCCTTTTCAATGGATGTGATGGACTTGGTTGACCTTCAAGGAAAGGTGGACTGGAGCATGAGTGGAGGTGGGAGGACAGTTTGTGTTAGAAAGAGAAGAAGGCATTGAGCTGGGTTGGCCTGAGACCGTGGCCACTGGGGAGTGGAGTCTGGAGGGGAAGGCTGGGTCACATGAAGAATGGCTTGAATGCTAGCCCCAGGTGCTGACTTAATTGAGTCTGCAGTGGGGAGCCCTGGAAGGTTGTAAACTTTTCCGCTTGGTTCCGCTAGAGCTTTGAAAGGGAAGAATGCATTCCTCTGGTGGGGGAGGGAAGACTGCCTGAACGGCTGTGTTTGATCTTATAAAAGTAACTGAATTTGTCAAATGCCATTTCTTCAGCGGAGAAAAGAACACAGCTAAGTACACAGGGCACGCCACAGGTGTGTGGCTGTGTGCGGGCATGCACACTGCCATTTGTCATTCATGCAGGGCCACTCTTGCATTCTCTGTGGCACAGACAGACACGCACCTCACGGAGCCTCTGAGCCCCAGATGGGACAGTGGAGGGGAGCACAAAAGCTGAGGGGGACCCTTTGGGCTTTTTCTTTGTAAAAGTAGGAAGCCGAGATTTAATGGAATACTTTTTGATCTTCACTTAACTTTTCCACATGTCTTTCGTTAGGTTTTCAAAATTAGTGTTGGATTATTATGTCTCCTAAAACCTCCGTGTGTACACCTCACTACATTTTTAAACTGCATGCTACTTTTTGTTATGCCCCAGCTTAAAATGTGGAGCTTACTTCTCACCCTGAACTGGTATCATTTAAATAAAGAGACAAACAGAAATCATCAGGCTAATCCATTAACACTGAAAAACAAGAGCTGCTCGTAAACCTTCTTCAGCTTCTCTCAGCCATCTGTAGAAGCATTTCTAGTGCGCAGTTATACTTTCATTTATCTAGTTTTAAAAACTTGCTTTTCACTTTTGAATTACTTTGAGATGGAAAGTTGCTAATTGTTGCTGAGGTATGCGTGTACTGTGCTGGTGTGTCATCCCTGGAAAATTCTTAAGTGGAGGTAAATCTTTACATAAATGATGTTTTGGAATCATGGCAAGGAGATATTTTGGATGGTTTCTGCTACAGTATTAGCCATGCCTCGCCCCAACTCCCAGCCTCAGTTAAGCTTTAGGATATCCTCCTCAACCCCCCACCGCACCCTGTTCAGAATCCCTTTGACGCTCTCTATGGCGCTCAGAGGAAATGGAGGACACTCGTGGCCCAGTGGTTAAGGAGTTGAACTGCCAACTCAGAGGCAGGTGGGTTCAAAACCACCAGCTACTCCACAGGAGAAAGATGAGCAGTCTTCTCCAGTGCAATTTATAGCCTCTGAAAACCCTCGTAAGGCTCAGCTGTGAGTTGGCTCAGACTCAACAATAAGTTCAGCAATGAATTATTACTGCTTTGTTGTTGTGTTCTCCTCAGAATGCAAACTGGGAGAAGGAAAAAAAAAACCAAAACCAAAACACCAACTCACATGCACTGCTATGGCTTCTATTCCAACCCATAATGGCTCTGTAGGACAGAGTGAAGCTGCCTCCGTAATAGAGGATCCAAAGGTGTAAACGTCACAGAGGCAGAATGTGAAGTGACTAGTGAATTTGAACTACTCACCTGGAGGTTAACATCAGGTGCTTGACTATTGCACCACTAAATGCCCTTCCTCAGGTGTCCTGGCTCTGTGGAAGCTGTTACTGGGCAGCTGGAGACACGTGGTCCGGTATCAGCCAGCCCCACCGGTAATAAAAGAAGCGCTGTCATCACACATCTGTCAGATTCCTAAGGGACCCTGGTAGCATAGATAAGTGGTAGGCTGCCAAGCCCAGATGGTGGTAGTTTGAACCCATTCAGTGGTTCCGTGGGAGGAGAGACCTAGAGATCTACTCTCGTATGACCTAGAGACCCTCCAGGGCAGATCCTGTGTCATATAGACTTGTAATAAGTCTGTAGCTGCACCTCAGTGACACTGATCAACATCGAGGTCTGACTATCTGATGCCGTCCTTGTCTGGAGATTATGCCTCCAGGTGCCCTCTCGCTGTCCAGCATGGTGCTTTGCTGGTTAGTATTTAGTAGTCCTGACGTTGATGGTGCAAATACTTGCACCCCTACATACTGAGAGGAGTTTGGAAATAGATGTTTGTATTCAGCTCTTCTGAGCCCTCAGGAGGCAGCACACCATTGGCTCCAGAGGCTGGTGTTTGCTGGGGACACTGGCTGGGTTACCTTTGTAACCGTCATGACTTCCTTCACACCCAGGAACTCTGTCAGGTAGCATCAGAATGGACTTTTCTGTGAGTCTAAATGAATTCCCTGGTTTTGTATAGTAGACATAGTCTCCTCCTAGGCGTGACATTTGAAGGGATGGTTGTTTGGAAACACATTTGTCCCTGTAGCCTGTGTGTTAAGAGCATCTGTGTCCATGTGGGGTATTGTCAATGACAGTGTTTCTGAGAAGCAGGCTAAGAGAAAGATAAAGATCTATCCCTTGGCTCCATGGCGTTCAGTCACCAACCCACACTGAACCTTGAAATAACCAACGATGCTGCTTGGATTCCCACATTCTGAGGAAAAATGGAACACTGAGTCCTTTCATTCAGAAGAAGCCAAGGAGATAGGAAGGAGGCTAGGCTGCTCAGGAACCGGAACCTTTGAAAGCTTTCAAGCCAAATATCAAATGGCCACATCTTCTTGACCTCAGCTGCTTTCTGTTCTGCAGGATTTAGCCCTGGAAGAGGCTGTGCTGGAAGAACTGACACAGAAGGTAGCGCAAGAGCACAAAGCCCACAGGTAAGGAGAAGCAGGCAGCAGGGCAGCGGGCAGGCAGCAGGGTAGCACACCGGCCTCCTTGTCCCAACCCTGACCATGACTTGCAGAGGCCTGCTCCTTCCAGCCTGTGACGGAACTCCAGACTTCAGTTCTGAGACGCACATGTGGGTCTAGAGTAGTGCTTTCCTCCCTCCTCCTTTTTTTTCTTTTTCTCTCTTTTCCCTTCCTCCTCCTTTTTCTTTCTCTCTCCTTCCCTGTTTTTCTTTAACACTAGAAAGCCAACACAGATAGATGTGGAAATATTGGCCAACAAACGATGTCTTGGTTTTTCTGAAAAATCAGTTGTCAAGTCTCGGAAGTCTAGGACAGCCTGGGATTAAGATTCAAAGAGTGGTTTTGGGTGAAGGCCAGAGCCACCTTTCTATTGGTGCTCCTTGAGAGGAGAATAGCAGGGCACAGGAGGACATGGACTCAGGAAACGCTGAGGCCGTGAAGTCCTTGGAAGCATTTGGGAGCAACGCAAAACTCACCTCCTTCCTCTCACACCTGAAAGAACTGTGCAGTAGTAGTTGTTGGTGTTGTTATGTGCTGTCGAGTTGCCTTCTACTCATAGTAACTCTGTGTACAGCAGCTCTGAAGCCCGCCCTGCCCTGAGCCAGTCTGTCTGACTCCAACATACCTAATCGCTTTGCCTTAGTTACTGGATCAATCCATCTCATCCGGGGTCTTCCTCTATCTACTGTGCTGTCCCTCTACCCTTCCAAGCATGATGTCCTTCTCCAAGGATCGGTCCCTCCCAGGCTTGTTGCCCAAAGTATGTGAGATGGAGCTTCAAAATCCTAGCCTCCAAGGAGAAACTTGATTTTACCCTCTCCAAGATGGACCTATTTGTTCTCCTCGTGGTCCATGATATGTTCAGGGCTCTTCTCTAGCACCACAACTCAAAGGCATCAATTCTTCCTCTGTCATCCTTAGTCACTGTCCAGCTCTACTCTCATATCTTGGCCACTCGTCTCTCAGGGAAAGCTTGTTCTTTACCCGTTTCCTTCCTGTTTAATACTGGAGATTTCTCCCAGGTGAGGGAAAACAGCTTTCCTCATAAAACAGACAACGTTGTTCCTAAGGATGTTGGAATAATTATTTAGTGTTAATAGGGCTGTGACTCTTAAATCCTTTTCTCTCCATCTTAACATCCCCTGGTGAGTAAAAGGATCCTGGGACAACGTTCCTGAATTACTTAGTATCTCACTGGGTTGGGTGTTGATTACTCTTCTCAGAAACTAGAGGTAAACCACAGCTCTGGAATTTGCCACCAGGATTTGGATCTTGTGTTAACTTGGTTGCCTTTAACTGTTTCCTCCTTTGATGCTGTTTTGATTGTAGTGGAATCCCGCCAGCAGAAGCTGAACTTATGTACATCAATGAAGTGGAACGTTTGGATGGGTTTGGACAGGAAAGCTTCCCTGTGAAGGTAATCTACTCTGGCAAACCTTTGATTTAGGCCTCTTCGAAGGGCCCAGAACATGCTAAACAAAAGCAGCTGCTGTCAAGGTGATTCCAGTTCACGGTGGGATGGATCATAAGTCTTCTGGCAGGGTGCAACTGTGTTCCTTAGGATTTTCAATAGCTACACACTCGGAGAAGCGGATTGCCAGGTCTTGGTTCTAAGACACCTCCATCTAGGTTGAAACTTCCAACCTTGGGCCTGCTAACTAGGTGTTCAACCATTTGTGCCAGTGATGAATTTCCAGAAGGGCCTAGCCATTTGAAGGGGGTCGGCAAAAAAAGACCCACCACTGACAGCAGTGTACAAAAATGGCTTCGTTTTCTAATTGTTATTTGATGATTTCCATTTGCTTAGGTATCACAAATACTTTTTTCTTATATAAGATATTTTGAAGTTTGCTGTTGGCTTCAGCAAAAGATGTCATGTTCAAGATAGCATTCTAAGTGCATTCCAAACAGCAGCCCAGTCTGATATCCTTACAGGTCCCAAGGCCCAGACAAAGGGGTGAGTGGCTCATGGTGTGTTAATGCAGATGTCGGCTGGCGTTCTCTTCTTCACACCCACTCTCATTCTCATCCTTGAACTGATGGCGGGATAATTTGTTTGGGAAGTAGAATGGAACCTTTCCAGTGTTCACTCCCACTTTATTTCTCCAGTTTTGTGGAGCCATCCAATTGTGAGTTCCCAGGCACTCTTGTGTTTTCTGGAAACTACGTATGAAACTCTTATAGCACTTCATGTCTTTTGCAGCAAATACCCCTCCTGAAGTGGGGGTGGCTAGGGGGCCACTACACATGGCCACTTGTAGGATTGAACCCATATCCAAACACATTTTTCCTGTCTCTGCTGACCCACTTCATGAGGGGGGTGGGGAAGGTGGTTGTAAGGGAAGTTGTTTTATCAGAATCCTAAAGCCATTGGCACATTGCAGCAGTTTGTGGGACGCCTGAAATTTCAGCACAAACACCACACTCCAAACTGGCTCTGCTGGCTGGTTTATATGAATTCTCTTCCCCCTTGGCTGCACGTTTGCAATTTGCCTTAATGAGAACTGCCCATGTGCATCAAGTAGAACCGAGCAGGGTGGCTGCAGCTTGTGAAAAGGGCTAAATGGCTCTGTTTTAGATTTGTTTAATTTTCTTTTGCTTCTCTCATGGCTGCCCTTCATTGGGTTGCAATCCATTTTCCTTGCAATAATGCCTTATGAAGCCATCTGCAGCCCACTTAGATTTCAGTAGCCCATATATAGTCATGATATTTTGGGTCATTGAAAAACCAGAGTAAACTTTTCTCCACGTCTAGAAAACTGACTTCCCAATTCCTTAACGTTGAGAGCTGTGGGCAGATGCTTGATTTTGGTTTTAGTAATACTGAACCATGGAAAATAGGGGCAGTTGAGACAGTGTTGATCCCGCTGTGCCTGGTTCTGATGGGCTTTACGTTTGCGCTGTGGTGGCATGGGCTAGGGCGATGCTTTAGCTGCTTTGAGTGGGCAGACAGACACTGCTGATTCACTCCCTCTTGGCAACACTGAGCTGCACTGCACTTTTGTTTCACTATCCCCCCCACATGCCTATCCATGACTAAGATGACCACCTACAGACTGTAGGATCCTGCACACCCAGTGAGGAGGAGCGGGGGCAGCAGCTGTGGTCATGTGGTCTGCTCTGAAATGAGCAAGAGTGCAGGCAGGAAAGAATGCAGGCACAGCAGTTAGTGGTGCTGTCTTGTCTCTGGGTGAGTGCAGAACCGAGCTGACCAAATAAAGTAATGAGTATGATACAGACATATGCTTAGAGAAGGACATTTTTTATTTCATGTGGGCTTTTCCAAGAATGATTCCTCCAAGATGTTTGAGGCTGGAAAGGAACCAGTGCACTTCCTGACAAGCAGCCAGGCCTTCCTCTCCTGCAGGCAGAGGTGTGGCTGCTCCCCAAGGCGTCCTCTAACACTCCAGCGCAGGAACCTCCCTTCCCCCAGGGGTCTAGGGATCAAGGCAGGGGAGGGATGGAACTGTAGGTTAGAGTTCAGAACCTGGATCCTATGCTAACGTGAGCTTCATCAGTCAGGAATGATCAGTGGCTCCGAGTTGATTTTAATGCTCGGCCACCCTGGTTGTGTCAGAATTGTGCTCGCAGGTTGGTTATTTGAAGGTAGGTCACTAGACTTCTTCTCATGAGGCACCTCTGAACAGTCACATCACCAACCTTGCAATTAGTGGCTGAGCATAAGCCATTTAAACCACCTAGGAACTCTAACATCGAACTTTAAGCCTATAAATGTCGACCATTGATTGCTGTGACCCCTATATCCTGGTCATGGTGGTTACCTTGGACGTCCTCTGTGTTTTTCCATTGTCCCCACCCTGATAAACTTCCCATATTCCCTTCACTACCAGACATTTTCATGGGCCTATTGTCTTATTGTCGGTCTTAATCTTGGTTGTGCGTGGCCACTGTTTTCTTCTCATTCCCTGAAAAGGACCTGTCCACCAGTAAAAGCAAGAGGACTGAGTGAAAGTCATCTTTATCATTGAACCTTGTTCCCACTCACCCTCTTGTACTAGATTCCACTGTCAGGTGAAGGTGACCAGGCACCATTCATCCATGCACGTTCCACTCCTCCACGCTCCCATGGAAGCACCTGACCAGACCGAGAGGCCGGATACCTGGGGTCCCCAGCAAAAGCCCAGCTAGATCACTGGCAGTTTACAAGCCTCACTCATGGTCACAAAGTTCTCACCATCAGTTAGCACCCCACTTTTAAATGCCAGTTATCACTTCCTAACACTTTAATAGGAAGGTAAAGAGAGTATAGCCACCTGGGAAACCCAGCAACCCAGCAAGGAGAAGAAAAGCTCCCAGCAGTGCTCTCTTGAGTCACAGAAATAAAAAGCAAGCTTGTAAATATGACGGACTTAAGTACAATAAAAGAGAACTCTCAGAAGTTAAAAATATGCTTTCAGAAATGAAAACCTAGAGTAGAAGTTACAATTGAGGCAATCTCTCAAAAATACCCAAAATGGAAACAGAGGGACAAGAGATAAGAAAACAAGAACTCCAGAATGCTCTAAATGTATAATGAAATAATAGTAGTTCTTAAAAACAGCATACAGAGACAACAGGAGTAGAACTATTTCCCTGAATTGAGGAACTTGAGGGTCTGCACTGATAGTGATACACGTAGGTTCACATTTCACACTCCAGATCTATGAGGTGGGATTCCTTTGCTCTGAGCAAAGGTCTCTTGTGGGCTTCTTACTTCAACCCTAAATACTTAGTGGTGAGGCATAGCACTACCAACCAAACCCAAAGATAGTTGGTTCAAACCCACCAACTGCTCTGTGGGAGGAAGGTGGACATTCTCCTCCTCTGTGATTTACTGACTCACAGTAAGCTTTGAGTCAGTTCTGACTTGAAGGTACACAACAGCAACTATTTTACTCTTCAAACTATGTGCATCTAAAACCTATAATTTTAAAAAAGCAAGAACTGAGTTTAAAAGAATATAATTTTTAAATATGAAAAATCCAGTGTGACAAATTGAAAAGAAAAATGTGTGAGGACATTATGCTGAGTGAAATATCTCACTAAAGGACAGATATTGCATAGTGCTACTGTTGAAAATGGGACTGATATTGAGGTTGAGGGAAGACAGGGATGGAGGGGAGGAATGATGTATACTACATTGCAACAGATGAGGGAGAAAACTGTTTAAAAGGGATATATGATTGGGTATTATTGTCATGACCAGAGTCCAGAATGAAGTCTGCAATGAGAGTTTTACTTTTCAAGAAGAGTGAATTGGGTGGGTGGGTGGGTGGGTGGGCAGGGAGAAAAGTGCAACAATGAATGACTGGAAACCCCAAGTCTCTGTAAACTTTCATTAAAATTAATTAAAAACAAAACAAACGAACAAATAAAAACAAACTCCCATGTGAGCGAAAACCCCTGTGGAGTACAGTCCTACTCTGACACACATGAGGTTGCTAGGATTCAGAAGTGACTCAGTGACAGCTGGTTTGGCTGGGATGTGCAGTGGGATTTCTCTTGGAACTGATCCCCAACACAGTTGCCATGTTGCCATGATGCTGTTTTATTATTCTGCCAGTTATGGGTAAGAAGCAGGGTGTGGTGCCCACGGGTAGGCTGTGGCCCAGTATTTGATTCTTGAAAGACCTCTTGGTATCTGTTTGATCACAGATGTCTTCTGTTGATCTTCCACAGGACAATCATGGAAACGGAGTTCACCTTGGTATTTTCTTTATGGGGATTTTCGTGAGGAACAGAATTGGAAGACAAGCAGTCATATATAGGTATTTGGGTTGTTTTTGTTTTTTTTCCCTTTTAATTCCTTTTTTTCCCTGAGGTACTCTAGAAAATACAGTGGATAGTTACTACCTTATTAAGTGAAGGTCCAGATGGTGAACAGAACCAAACTTCTCTCGAATCAGACACAGTCAGTTCTCTGTGGAGGTTATGCAGCCGTAAGGAAATTTGTCTGTCTTTTCTTGGGGGCTTCTTTCATGAAGGGGGGCACTTGCTTCTTGACTCCCAGAGATAACTGTCAGACCCCACAGAGGCAGAGAGTAGGCAGGGACTCAAGCAAGGAATCTGACTAGAAATGGGCTCTTCAGCCTATCTCCTCCTGACCACTCTTGGAATCATCCACGAGGAGTTGTTAAATCCCAGCAGCTGTCTCTCCATTGTCCTGCATCCCCTGCCTACCCACTTGCACTGGAAGAGTGCAAACTCGTTTTCCTAGTAACCAAAGATTCCTTGTGAACAGTGATTCAAGAAAAGCATCATATTATTATGATAACTTAAAGGACGTTGATAATGCTTCTCATGTTGACACCTCAACTATCCTTTGTGGTTAACATGAATACAACCAGTGTTGGGAAAGGGCAGAGAACTTCCCCCAACCTTTGCCGTTACATGCCCCTTCATTGGCTCGCTTTGTGTCGGTGCCCATAGATTTCAGCATGTCAGTGATCTGAAAAAAAACCCACATGCTTATTTTCTAGGGCAACGTGGCCCATTATTTGGGGGGAGGACAGTTTTCCCGTGTATGCATCTGATAGGCAGATGATCAAAGACGGCTTGCAGAGGCAAAGCACAGCCTGCCTCCTGGAAGTAGATCTTGGCCAGCCATGTTCTCTCTGGATTAGTAGTTACTGCTGGTCATTTTGAGACCATTTTCTGAACAGAGAAGTTTCTTAATTGGCTTTCATCTTCCTAGATTCCCACCCTGCCATTATTTTAGCATATTTCCCCCATTTACACTTTAAATAGAGGCACTATTGAAGTAATGAGTGGACCAGTAGCTCGCTAGAACTATTCAGTAAACTTTTTTCCTTATTCAGGATCAACTCTATTCTGCATAACCACGACAAATTATGATTCAGGTCGGTAAAATGACCAAGTATGTAGAGAGTTCTAACCGTAAGTTTGTATTCCCAGTGAAAGCAATCCAGGAAGTTTTACGTTTTGCCCCATATGATTCTCTGTAGCTCAATTAATGCTTTGGTTTCTTTTTTAGTTTGGAGAGATGTAACAAAGTCTTTTTTTCCAGTAGAAAATAAAACCCCAACCATTCCAAATATGATAAGAATAGACGCTGAACTCTTACAGTCTCTTCATCACCTGTGTCTGGCTAACTTCTCTCCCATTGAGCTCTGGTAGCCTTCTGGTAAGGAGTAGCACTGCCAGCTCAAAGACATGTGGTTTGAATCCCCCAGTAGTTCCATGGAAGAAAGATGGGCAGTCTCCTACCATGCAGTTAACTGCCTCTGAAAACCCACTGGAGGCTCTGCAGTGGGTTGGTTCTGACTCAACAGTACCCAACAACAGCAGCAAGAATGACACTTCACATGAATGGCAGTCCTCCCTGTCAGTGTGAAACTGCTTCAGAGGATTTTCTATAATCTTTACAGAAACAGATTGTTACATCTTTTCCCTGAGGAGTAGCTGATAGGTTCGACCTGCCAGTCTTTGAGTGAATAGCTGAGTGCATAACTACTGCATCACAAGAACTCCTCCAGAGTGAAGGGGAGGTCACAATAAACCGAAAGTCAAATGCTACCAAGTTAACTTTGATTCATGGTGACCCTATATGTTGTCAGAATAGAACTATTCTCCGGGAAGTTTTCAACAGCTGAGTTTTTAGAAAATAGATTATTAGGCCTTTCTTCTGAGACACCTCTGGGTGGACTCAAACCTTTTGCTTAGCAACGGAGTGTATTATGCATTTAGACTACCTGATGATTCTGTTGTTGTGTACCTTCAAGCTGTCAAGTTGGAGCTGACCCTGGGGGGCGGGGGGTTCAGAGGTAGTTAATCACACGGGAGGATATTGCCCATCCTTCTCTTGCACAATGGCTAGTGGCCTTGAACCACATGCCTTCTGGATTACAGTGCAACTTCTTGCTACAAAGATGGCTAGAAATTTGTTTCAAGGGAGCTCTGGTGGCCTAGTGGCAAGAAGCTGCATTACAATCCCAGAGATTTGCTGTTCGAATCCACCAGATGCTTTGCTGGAGAAAGAGGGACAATCTCCTCCTGTACCAGTCCGATCTGATTTGACAGTACACACACAAAATATTATTTAAAAAAAAAAGAAATTGGCTCCAAGTTGGATGAAAAAGTAGCAGCTTCTTTTCATTTGTTTCCTGATTGTTTATATCTCATTTGAAATAAAGTTTTCTTGAGAAAAGGAAAGGAAATCCTGTTTGATTTTTGTTGTTGTCATCTGCATGCTTAGATCAACAATGTAAAAATGTTAAATGTTTGCTCTGGGTGGCAACATGAATCTGTGTGAGTGTCTACAGCACAGAATCTGTGAATTCTCCAGCCTACATTCCTGCGTAGACAGGAATTTTTAATCATGTACTCCTCTTAGACTAGGTGGTAAGGAGTTACACTGCCAACCCCAAAGCACACCATTTGAATCCACAAGATGCTGTGAAGGAGAAAGAGGGACTGTCTTCTCCCATGTGATTTACTGCCTCTGTAAACCTGCATGAGGGGCAGCTAGGAGTTGGTTTTGACTCAGCCGTACATAACAACAACAACAACAACAACAACAACTACCATTATTAAAAATGTTCTTAATTAAGAAATGTAAAAAGCATGATAGCTAAAGTCTCTTGGAAACTTTCTTCATAGTTAATTTTAAAGGAAATGTCTTTATGAAGAATCAACTCAAACTCATTGCCGTCTATTTGAAGCTCACTGGTAGCTGACCCTCCAGCAATTTTCCAAGGCTGTAAAACACACAAGAGGACACTGCCCATCTTTCTTCCGTAGCTATGTTGGTGGGTTCGAACTGCCGGGGAGGCACCACTATGGGTTAGTGGTGCATCTTCTACACGACCAGCCCCGCCCCCCTATTATGAAAAATAAAATCTGGGTCTATTTTACAAAGAGTTTGTAGTTATTAAGTAGATATATTTTGTTTACTTTCTCTTTTGAGAGAATGGATGTTTATACTTTGAAAAATATCTCTAAATCCTAATTTCTGAAATGAGAAGTAACGTTAGCAGATGGCCCTACTGCTTTGAATCTTAAAGGCTAAAAGGCCCTGCGGCTCTGACTGTGGCAGGTTTTTGAGTGGATGAATTTCCTTTCTTCTGTCCAGGTGGAATGATCTCGGGAACATCAGCCATAACAAGTCCACCATCCTGGTGGAGTTCATCAACAAAGAGGAGACTGCCCTCTTCCACACGGTGAGCAAATGCAGGCCTCACAAACAGCTTGCTGTTGGGCTTCTCGGCCCTTGGTGTCCTCTCCCTGTTGTTTTCATTTCTTGAGACATTAAGTGTTTGGTTGAAAATATAATTTCTGGTACTTGCCCAATGCTACTGTTGCCCATTTCAAGGCAAAACCCAAAAGGCCTACTACTTCCAGTGACTGGATTCTGACCCATTTGGTGCTCTGTTGGGTTTCTAAGGCTGTGAGATCGAAGCGACTGCCCATCTTTCCTCTGCTGAGTGGTTGGCAGGTTCACAATGCCAGCCTTTCAGTTAGCGGGCCAGTGCTTCACCTGCCGTGCCCCCACCAGGGCTCATTTCAGGATACCGAAAACTGAACCCCTTTGCCATGCAGTTAATGCCTACTCTCAACAACTCTCCCTCGGCTTTCCAAGACAGTAGTTTCCTCCTTTTCTTTTAAAAAAAAAGGTGTGTTTTTTTTTTATTATTGTGACTTGAATGAATGTTTATAAAGCAGATCGGTTTTTCAATCATCCATTGATGAACATTTAAATCTTAATGGGAACAGACAGCCTGCTCCTTCTCACTCAGAGCAACTGGTCTCTGCGACCTCCAGATTAGCAGCTCTGGGCTCCTCATTTGAGGATGGTGGTGGTGAAATACCATGTTCAAACTACGTTGTTGCTTATTTGTTGTTTTGGTTCTTTACTGTAGGATTGGGGTTCTTCTCCTGCCTTTGTGTGCTGGGTCACATTGCCTGACATGCTGAAGTCCTCTGCACTAGCTCTTACATTGCATTTTCTTTTGCCGACCGATCTAGATTTTCTTTGCCATCCTTGCCTAAGCTTCTCCTCAAATAAACTGAGAGGCTGACTTCTTCTGTTGAATGTTCTTTGAGAGCCACCACCATCCATGCATCTCATGGCCTCTCGTGTAGTGATGCTTGCAATTTATCCCAGGCTCGGCCTGACTTGGTGTATTTACTTTTGAAACACTTACTGGGGAATTACATGGAGGCATGCCCACAGTTAGTGGGAAATTACATAGAGTGTAGTCCCAGCTCTTGGGCAGACTACCTGGCTTCCCACCTTTTGGTGGGCTGGTGGACAACACGGCTGTGAATTTCAGCTGCTTGGCTTATCAGCCTAGTATGAAATTTTGTGAATGGGACGAAGGTGGGGAGCTGTGAGTCCCTGCTCAGAAGTAATCATAGTGAAATGCATGTACAGTCTAACAAATATTTATTTTTACTTTATCTTTCTTTTTCAAGGACGATATTGAAAATGCCAAATATATTTCTCGGCTGTTTGCTCTGCGACACAAGTTTTACAAACAAAACAAAATCTGCACTGAGTAAGTAGATATTGAGTTCCCCCTCTCACAGGTCACCCTGTCCAGTGAAATTTATGTGCTTTAGGGATGTTCTAGAAGGCTTTGTCATTGACTCTTTTGCCTTGTTTCTTGAAGAAGAAAAAAACGTGTGTGTGTGTGTGTGTGTGTGTGTGTGTGTATAAAGTATAAGCCAGGTAAGACTGAAAGGGCTTTAATGATGAAATCCATCTAATGCAGTGCTTGTGCCTAGACAGAAAAGAGTAGTGTGAATTGACTCCACAGGCCTGACTCCCGATTGGGTTGGCCCGCATTAGCCCCTCTTCAGCCCTCTGCCTCGAGTTTGGAGTTACCGAACAGATCCCAATTTGCCAGGGTTCCTCTTGTGTCAGATGTGGCCTGTGTTCAGAAGCGTGCAACTGAGTGACAGGCCAACTTGAAAGCGAAGACGCGCCTGTCATCCTCAGCCCCGTTTCGCTTACACAGTTGGCTAACCCTGCATGTGCTCGTGGGTCAGGTCACCTGACTGTAAATGAGAGGCGAGGCTAATTAGGGAGGAAGAATTGGAAGACTCTCCTAGATGTCACAAGTCCCTATGTATTTTTTTTTAATTTGGCAATAAAGACGATAAAGCCGAGTCTGATGAAGGAACTTATCCGTGCCCTGACCTCTGCTGTCGCGTGCTGGGACTCACTCCATCTGGTCTTTACCTTGGTTGCCTTCAAAAGACATTCCTCAGTGGAACGCAGTCCCCAGTTGGGGAGCCCAAGGTGTTTAATTTTGTTTCAGAGAGTGTCAGGAATGTAAATGCAGGATTACTAAGTTTCCACTCCCCTAGTAGACACATCCAAGAACAGGAAAACGAGTGTTCCCGAGAAGCTCTTGTTGAAGGACACGGCTGCTTTATCACTGGATCATTAGGTCGGCAAAGACAAAATTTCTCTGGCATCAGTCACTGCAAATTGGTGACTGTTGGGATCTAACCAAACATCTTACAGTATAGGTTCTGCTAGTAAGGTTTGCAAATGCCACTCAAAGGGAGAACTGATGTTGTTTTTGTTAGTGGCCATCGAGTCAATGATGCTTCATAGTGACCCCTAAGCAAAGGGTCTGAGCCTTGTCCTTTCTTGCACCTTCCTCATCACGTCTGATGCACTTGAGCCCATTACTACAGTCACTGTGTCAATCTATCTCATTGAGGGTCTTTCTGTCTTTCACTGGCCCTCCACCTTTCCAAACATTATATTCTTCCCTAAGGCCTGGCCTCCCCTAACCTGCCCAAAATATGTGAGACAAAGCTTCACCATCCTTGCCTCCCAGGAGCACACTGGTTGTACTTTCTCCAAGACATACTTGTTCTCTTGGCATTCTAGGGGATATTCTATACTCTTCTCCAACACCACAACTCAAAGGCATCAATTCTTCTGTCAACCTTAGTCATTATCCAACTTTCAGATGAATGACAAGAAATTGAAAAGACTGTGGCTTGAATCAGATGCACTTTAGTCTTTAAACTGACATCATTGTTCCTTAACTCCTTAGAGAGATCCTTGACAGTGATTTACCAAATGCAATAAAGACGTCTTTTCATTTCTTGACTGTTAGTTTTTGTTTTCTTGATGTTGAGATGTAACCCATATTGAAAGCTACAATCTTTGATCTTCTGCAGCAAATGTTCACATTTTCTTTATACACACCCGCTCTTTCTTTGGGACATATTTACTGTACCCCAGTTCTGTACATTCCCACTCTTTTCTGGCCTTTGGTTTGTGAGGACTCCTCTGGTATTAACTGGGATTCTGTAGTTGATTTCTGCAGATTAAATGGGGGAGAACCCCCAAACAAAAAAAAGCCATACAACTATTTTGAAAAATAGATTCATTGCTGTCTTTTGATTTTACCCATCTTTTGGCAAATGGAGTTTACTAAGCGTTTGTATTTCCTTTATGGGCTTTTTTCCTAGTATTAATGAACGTTGTTCATCTTTCTCCCATAATTTATTAGACTTAAGACTAAGAGGAAATTCAATTTTCCCCATCCTATTGCTGCAATAATAATTCTTTCTTCTCCCTAAACAGGCTTGGGAAATCCCTAATCTATTAATATGCCAAAAGCCAGGGCTCTCTAGTTTTTAAAAAGTAGACACACAGACACATTAGATTCTCTGTATACTTTAAAGTCAGCATCAGCTCAGGCTACACTGTTATTGTTGGGTGCCTGTCAAATGGGCTCTGACTCATAGCAACCCATGGTTTATACAACAGAAGGGAACCCTGCCCAGTCCATCCTCACAATCATTGCTTGCTATTCTTCAGTCCACTTTTGCAGCCACTGTATCAGTGCTTCTTGTTTGAGGCACTTCCTTTTTTATTTTTTTTCCCTGTCCTTCTGCTTTATCAGCATAATACCCTTCTCCATGAACTGGTCCCTCTTCGTGGTATGTCTAAAGTATGTGAGACAGAGCCATTATGTGTGTCTTCCAAGGCGAGTTAGTTTCTTCTTTGAGCAAGTCTACCATCCATTCAGTATTCTTCACCAACAGCGTAATTCAGAGGCATCAGTTTTTTGCTTTGTGTTACTCATTGTCCAGCTTTTTGCATGCATATGGCACGATTGAAAATACCAAGACTTGCATGAGATACACCTTAGTCCTCTCAGTGGCATCTTTGATTTTTAGTACATTAAAGAAATGCCTTGCAATAGATTTGCCTAATGCCATATGTTGTTTAAATTTTTGACTACTGCTTCCTTGGATGCTGATTGGGAATCCAAGTAAAATTAAATCCATGACAACATCATCGTTTTGTGCCTCTATTGTGGTCCAGTTAATCAGACGAAGAGCTCTGTGCTCAGATTGAACAAATGGTGAAAGGAAGCAGCCCTTCCTGGATTGAAACCATTCCTAATTTGAAACTCTTTGTTCTTTTTGAGCAACTGCTACTTGGTCTATCCATGATTCTGCAGGAGAACAAGTAAATGTTTGAAAATCCCCATTCTTCATGTTATTGCACAGTCAGCAAAACATAGGTAAATGTCTCTCCTGTCTTCTTTGCTTTTAGTCAGGAGTCATCTGACATCAGTGATGTTATCTCTTGTTCTACAGCCTCTTCTGAATTCAGTTTGAATATCTGACACTTTGCTGTTGATGTGCTGCTGTAACTATTTTTCAGTGACGTTCTAAAAAATTTTATTAGTAAATTATATTAATGATTACTCTTTTTGTTGTTGTGTGCCATAGAGTCAGAACCGACCCATAGCTGACCCTCCAGCAAGTTTTCAGAGGCAGTTAATTCCTTTATAGTATTTGCATTCCTTTGGATCACTTTTCTCTGGAGTAGATACAAATATAGACCTCTTGTAATTGATTGGCCAGGTTTAGGTTTTTCATATTTCTTGGCATAGGTGAATTTGTACCTCCAGCAGTGCATTCATTTGTTGAAGCATCTCAGACGCTATTTCATTCAGTGCCTGCAGCCTTGTTTCTTGCCAGTTTCGTCGGTATACTTGGTACTTCTTCCTTCACTACTATCAGAACTTGATCATAAGCTTCATCCTCATTGAATGTCGACCACCACTTCTGGCACAGTGAATTTGTGTATTCTTGCCTTCTTTTTTTTTTAAATGCTTCTTGCAACTTGAGGCTAACATTTTTTATTTAGTTGTTTCAGCTTGAGAAATGCCAAGTGTGTCCTTTCCTTTTGGTTTCCAACCCTAGGTCTTTGCACCTTTCGTTATGCTTTCCTTTGTCTTCTTCACCCACCCTTTGAAATCTGTTCACCTCTTTTACGTCATTATTTCTTCCTTTCACTTTAGTTATTCTGTGTCAGGAAGTAAGTTTCAGAGTCTCTTCTGACATCCAGTTTTACCTTTTTTTGATAGTTTTTGGTCTTTTGGCTTTTTTAATCTGTGATATCCTTAATGTCATCCAGCAGGTTGTCTGATCTTTGGTTATTAGTGTCCAGACATCTGTCTTCTTTCTTCCGAATTATATTTTTGTATGGGCTTTAAAATCAGATAGAATATCCTTTAAGGTCATTCTTTGACTCCCATAGTCTTGTTTTAATTTCTGTAAGCTTCAAGTTGAGTTTGTTTATGAGCAGTTGATGGTTTTTTCCAAAGATACAGTCATTTAATTCCTGTTTATTCATCTGGTGGTGTGTATGCAGAGCTACTGTGTATGTTGTTGAAAGAAAATATTTCCAATAAAGATTTTTCACCATTGGTCTTGCAAAATTCTTTTGTACAGCCTCCAGCATCATTTCTATCAATAAGGTCATATTTTCCAAACACTAGTGAGGTTTCTTTGTTTCTGACTATCGCATTCTAGTTACCGATAATGATAAAGGCATCTTCTGGAGTGCCTTGTTCATCTCTTTCAGACTGCACAGGTTGATAGAAATCTTCAGTTCTTTGCCTTTGGCTTGAGTGGCCAGTGTGTAACTAGGCTACATTAAAGCTAATCATTTGATGTTTCACAAACAAATGTCATCTGACTAGCAGCATCCTTTCCTATGTATAAGTCATCTCTGATCTCCAAAATTCTGTCCTTGCTTTTTCTGTTCCTGTAAAGCTATTTTCTATCTTTTAAAGATAAAGCTCCAAGGAGTGATTCCTGAATTTTTTGTCTTAAAGAGAAGAAATGGAGGTGGCATTGATTGTTTAACATGGGTCTGATAATATATTTGGCTAAGCATATTAAAAAATTCAGAATTTCTTTATTTAATCTATATTACTTCATTAAAATATTTTATTACTAAGAGTGTATAAAGTATGAAAAATTCAGAATTGCTATATTCCGTCATTAAAATAATTTATTACCAAGAGTGTAGAAAGGATGAAATTTCAGAATTAGAGAAGTTCTTTGTATTAAATAAATGTTGTTAATGAGGAACTCTACAAGCTGACTGCCTTATAATTTCACTGACAACTAGCGCAGCAATTGTTATATTGGGTACCCATTGCTTTAAGGCACCTAGTGCTTCCATTTCTCACAAATATGAAAATAAGCATAATTCCTACCATCACCCTATTATTTTTATTTTAAAGTTTAATCACTGTTTCTTTCTGGTGATAATATATTCAACAAAACATATACCTACCTGCTCGGGGAGCTCTGGTGGCCTAGTGGCAAGAAGGTGTACTGCAATCCCAGAGAGGTACACGGTTCAAATCCACCAGATGCTCTGCCGGAGAAGGAGGGACAATTTCCTCCTGTACCTGTCAGATCTGATTTGATGGTACATGCACAAAAAATAATAAAAAAAATAAAAAAAAACCACAAAAAAAAATATATACCTACCTGCTCAACGGTTTCTACAGGAACAATTCAGTGTCATTATTCTTCCCATCTCTGCCCATGCTGTTTCTATATGAACGTACAGATTCTCTTTCCCTTAAAATGACGTTTTAGGATTACTATTTATCTGTTCAATCTCGTGGGCAGTTCTTAAAAAAGAGTTGTGCTCAAGGTGAACATTACTAAATGAGCTAAATTGTTAATTAGTTCAAAAATTGTTTCCTGAGATAGTGTCTGTTCAAGACTTAAAAGTTCTTTTTAAAGGAGCTCTGTGGCCTAGTGGCAAGAAGCTGCGCTGCAATCCCGAAGGCTTGGGGTTCGAATCCACCAGATGCTCCTCTGGAGAGGGAGGGGCAACTTCCTCCAATGCCAGTCGGATTTGACTCAATGATACACAACAAGGCAAAGGGAAAAAAAGTTGGTTTTAGACAATACTTTATAGAGTTCTAATCTCGGTGCACTCAGTAAATCTGGTTTCCAGATTTCTACCTTAAACAGATAGTATTTGTTTTTAGATGGAATAGTGTTTGATTTGAGGTAACTTTGTTATCTTAATATTTATTGATTTCAGTAGTTTTCTCTTTTGGATTACTATTTGAATAACATTTGAAAAGGTTCTTTTTATTTATTAAATCTTTTGGGCATACAGGAAAAAGATAGTGAATTAGCATAAAATGCATATTGTTATTATGGCAACACTTTTCAATATTGCCCGTCTCCCTCTTTCTTTTAATATTACTTGTCAAGGTTAATGTAAAATTGTAAGTTCCAGAAATTTTGAAAAGATATGAGAGGAGATTAAAATTGCTTTCACATTTGCTATGCAGAAATAAAGACTCTTCATCTTTTTATTCCTTTTGGGTTAAGTCTTATCCCCAGTCTCACCTCCTTATATCCTTAATATTGATGATCTTCCTTTTGTCTCCTTTTCATGTAGACAATCAAATTCTCCACCCCCCATCAGACGCCAGCCCACCTGGAGTCGTTCCTCCCTGGTAGGTATAATCTTTAGTTATCAAACTGCGTAACTATTGGGAATGCATGAAGTAGTCTCTTGCAGTTAACTTGAAGGGAGAGGTTACAAGTTCCTGTAAAAATACAGAAGGATGTCATTCTGTCCAGCAGGTCTATTGTGAATCCATACTGTTCTCTGTGTTTATCCTTCTCCTTCAGTTCTTTTTAAGTTTATTCATTGTTTAGCCAAGAGTAAGACATCCATCATATTACACCTGATGAGATTATAGCCTTCAGCAATCAGTTGTTGTTCACCTGCTGGTTTCTAATTCTCTCTAGCTGTTACACACAGATATCCCTTTAGTTAAAAGCTCCACAGATTCTTTTGTTCTCGTTGTCAAAACCAGCCTACTTGTTCTTAAGTTGACTCCACCTGCTGGTGAAGTTCTGACACCATCTGTCAGAGTAGAATTGTGCTCCCTAGGGTTTTCAGTGGTCAAAAATTTTCTGGAATAGATCTCCAGGCCTTTTTTCTATGACACTTTTGGATAGGCACACATTTGCATCCTTTTAGTCAGAAGCTGAGTTGTTAACCTATGTACTGTATATAGTTTATAAATAGAGATTGATAAAGGATTTTAAGAAGCTGCTGAGTTGTTAACCAATGTACTGTATATAGTTTATAAATAGAGATTGATAAAGGATTTTAAGAAGCTACAAATTGTTTCAGATTTTACTGATTTTTAATGTTGTTGTTGTTATATGCTGTTGAGTCACCTGTGACTTATAGCTACCCTATGTACAACAGCTCTAAACCCTGCTCTATCCTGTGTCAACTTCACTGACTCCGATACACCTACCCCCATTACCCTAGTCACTGAATCAATCCACCTCATAGAGGATCTTCCTCTCCTGTGCTGTCCCTCCACCCTCCTGAGCATGACGTCCTTCTCCAAGAACTGGTCCTTTCTTGCAACATGTCCAGAGTATGTCAGAAGAAGCTTCACAATCTTTGCCTCCAAGGAGCAGCCTGGTTTAACTGTCTCCAGGATGAACCTATTCATTTTCTTAGCAGTCTATGGTATATTCAATACTCTTCTCCAACACCACAGCTCAAAGACATCAATTCTCCTTCTATCCTCCTTGGTCATTGTCCAACTCTCTGATGCATAACAAGTGATTGCGAAGACCATAGCCTGTATCAGACGCACCTTAGTCTCCAGAATGACACCACTGCTCTTCAGTACTTTGGAGAGGTTCCTAACAGCAGACTTTCCCATCACAAGATGTCTTTTAATTTCCTGGGTGCTGGTGCCAAAAGCGTTGACTGTGGAGCCAAGCAAACTAGAACTGTTAACAATCTCCATCTCTTCACCATCCATCCTGATGTTGCCAATTGGCCCAGTGGTGAGAATCTTTGTCTTCTGGGTACTGAGCCTCAATACATATTGAAGACTGCAGTCCTTGACCTTCTGCAACAACCACTTCAGGTCTTCCTCTGTTTTACCAAACAGTGTTGTGTTATCTGCATCATGCAGATTGTTGATGAATCTTCCACCAATCCTGATGCCACACTTCTCCTCATATAGCCCAGCCTCCTAGATAATCTGTTCTGCATGTAGGTTGAAAAGGGTTTTTCCTTACACTGTGTTGTATTATTTCAAGGACAAAATAAAATATTAGAAATATCTTTTTTGTGAATATTTTCTGCCAGTTTTAAGTCAATTCCTTTCTTTACATTATGATTTTTTTACAAAATGAATCAAACTTGTTACCTCTAAATTTTTCAGGGTTAATTCCTTAAACATCATGAGAGAATAGCATTATATATTTACTTCATAAGCAATGTATACCATATAGCACATCTTTAGTTATCTTTTAAAAGGAAATACTGAGGAAAAAAATTTCTTGAGAAATGGACTTGTAATTTTAGGATTGAGCTATTATATCATTAGGCAACACTCACTGAGTACAGTATGCATGCATATACTTTTAATCTTATTGTTACACAAAATAGTTCACAGGTACTGCTTTGCCTTAAATGTCTAAAAGGTTGCTTTTTTCGTCAGGAGTTCCAATAAAGTTCTTCATGACACTCTTCATTTTTCTTCTTCTCATCAGTGTTTTTTCCCCCTTTTTAAAACTCAACAGATATAATTAGTGTGACACCTTTTCATCAGTCATCTATAAAACAGCAGGGGAGTGAGAGTGTTTTAAGCCAATCTTGTAATCTGATCACTTGTTCTAATTATTTGGAGAAGAGGTAGAAGTTTTCCTGTTTTCTTTGGTTGAAGACAATTTCCAGGAAGCCAGATTCATGGCTTTCCCCTTTTCCCTGCCCTTTTAAACATTTCACCAAGAGTTTCTTGGGATGAGGGAGGACAGGGACAGGTAACTGTTTTCCTCACTTTCGTAATGATAACTAGGGCTGCCGCTTGTGGGTTCATACTTACCCTTCCGTTGCTTACATTATGCTGCACAATTTGTTTCTATATTAACAGATCTGGAGAGTAATTGCATATTTAATCCTTATATGGTACTTGGAAGACTGACTTGGTATTCTTGCCTGTATACTTATAAGATTTCATATACAGTCATTTATTAGATTTTTTTAAGAACAGGAGCCAGTGGTCCACCAGCTTTGTTTTGTCCCGTGTTTCAGTTCACTTGTGCAATTCCTCCTCACTATCTAGCAGCACTGCCTTAAGCCTGCAGCCGTTCCATGGAAAAGCTGAGCTGAGTTACTTTTTTCCAAGCAAATGGAAAAAATAAATTTTTAAAAAAATATTTTTAAATTGCAGCACAAAAACCAACCAAGGAAATATTTAGGAAAACTGATGTTGTACATTTTCTTGGGTTTCTGGAAGTACTTTGTTAGCTTAACTTTCTTTCTTTAATCCATCTCCTTTAATCATTTTAGTTTTTTGCATCTTTTGTGTCATTGCCTTCTTGTTTGCCCTTTCACTGCTCTGTCACTTTGTTGGCAGCAGTGGTGGTTTTATCTTGTTTGTTGTTGGTTTGATTCTAACACGTCACTATGAGTAATGTGACCATGTGACAGACTAGGCCTGCCTGGTGGACTTTCCTTAGTGGTTAATCTTTACAGGATCAAGCTGCCAGAGCATTCCTCCTATGGAGGAATAGATTTGAACCACTGAGCTTTCAGCTCTTGGCCAAGTGCACAACCATTGTACCAACAGGATTCTAGAGGAAATGGTGGTGGTGGTGGTTGTTAGGCGTTGTCAAGTCAAGTACATCTCATAAGGACCCTCATATGAATGACAAATCTGAATCCTAATCTATCCTGTGCCTTCCTCCTCAGCTCTAAAGGACTTGAGCTTGTTAGTCCCCTTCAGTTTCTGGTTAATGTGCATCTTCTGTTGAAAGGTTCTAAGAAATTGTGACTCCTGCTTGATTTTGATTTCTTGGCTTGATCCTGGCTTCTAAAACAGTAACATTTAAAATAGTATCTCCAAGAATAATTTCAAGACCTTTGTCTTTCTCATTGTCATTGAGTCACTTTTGACTCATAGCTGACTCTCCATTAGACTCATTCAGGACTCTAAATCACACAGCAGGAGCTTGCCCATCTTCCACCCTTGGCATGGCCAGTGGATTTGAACTGCCAGAGCAGTGCGGCCTTTGGGTTAACAGTACAGCTCTCTATGGACTGCACCACCAGAGCTCCTTAATTTAAAGACTATCCAATAGAAACATAAGAGAGAAGTTTGCTTTTGCAATTTACAAACTTAGAGGGTATTATTTTCCCCCCTTTAGGAGCAGAAGTTTTTCTTCAACAAATTCTTACCAATAACTCTTAGTTATGAACGGAATGCATACTGCCTTAGGGGGAAGAGGGGAGGAGCCTTCATTTGGTTGATAAATACTGAAACCCAGTGAGGTTAAGTGATTTGACCAGCTCACAGTCACAAAGAATCATAAATATACACATTTTTATGTTGTCTTAATATTTAATCTATCTAACTTTCACTATTGATTTTCTTCTCTAAAAGTCTCCTCTTCTGAACTGTAAGTTGACTTGAGAATTATACTCGCCTATTGTGGGCCCATTTGAGATGTGTATATTAGGTGGTGACTGTCACCAGCCTTGTCCTTATGCAAGATTAATGTGTACTGTGAGTTGTGGGTCACAGGTACAACTCTGCAGATTCTAGGAGCTGGTGGTCCAAGAGGAAGCCAGATATCGAGAGAATGAAACCATCTCTCCCATTATGTATGCTCTTGTTCTGTCTTAGCTGAGAGACATCATCAGGTACCTTTTCTGAGTTTCTTCTTCTAATGAAAGCATAAAGAGTATTCAAGTGTCTTAGAAGATACACAAGTCGATACATTAGAAGATACGTTAAGTCCTGCAAACCTGTAAGGTAGCATCTTGTCAGAGAAGAAAATGCAAATCTTTTCCACTAAAGATAGCCATAGGAAAGTTGCAAGACCCTGTCAAAGGTGAGAACCTTGTGAGACTCAGCAAAACAAGGTGGGCTTGTCAGGCTCACTCAGGGGTCTCACTGTCGATCTGCTCTGCCTTCTGGTTATTGTTCCTTTTTTACCACTGAGCCAGTGTCTGTCTTGTCTTTCCTCATTTCTTCTGTCTCAGGGTGGTGGCGATGGGGCACTGTGTGTGCTTCCCTTTTGGTGTTGCTGACTGGGACGGTCCTGTGGTTGGGCTGGCTCTCTCAGTGTTAGGATGCCTTCTGCCAGCCCCGTCACATAACTAACTGCTTTTATTTCAGCCCAGACAGCAGCCGTACATCTTGCCACCCATGCATGTCCAGTGCGGTGAACACTACTCGGAAACTCACACCTCACAAGGTAATTCTCCCTTTCTGTCCCTTCCTCATGAATGTGGATGAATATATTAGAAGTGTGATGGCTTAGAGGTTCACGTGTCTTTGTTTGACTTCCTGTAGACAGCATTTTCCTTGGGAATGAGGAAGCCTTATATTCCAACTCTCACAACAGCCTGGACTTAAATTATGTGAATGGCACCGTTACCAATGGCAGCGTGTGTAGCGTTCACAGCATAAACTCCCTCAGCTGCTCCCAAAGTTTCATCCAGGCTTCTCCTGTGTCCTCCAACCTCAGTATTCCTGGGAGTGACATCATGCGGGCCGACTACATCCCTAGCCACCGGCACAGTGCAATCATCGTCCCGTCTTACCGACCCACCCCCGATTATGAGACAGTCATGCGGCAGATGAAGAGGGGGATCATGCACACAGACAGTCAGAGCCAGTCTCTGAGAAACCTCAACATCATCAACACACATGCCTACAACCAGCCAGAGGACTTGGTGTACAGCCAGCCCGAGATGCGGGAGAGACACCCCTACACCGTCCCCTACGGGCCAAAAGGGGGCTACAGAAATAAACTTGTCAGTACGTGTGAGCACATCAACCCAAAGAATCATATGGTGCGGAGCAAGCCTGGGGCCAGTGCCATCTCTCACACGGTGAGCACCCCCGAGCTGGCCAACATGCAGCTTCAAGGCAGCCACAACTACAACGCGGCCCATATGCTCAAGAACTATCTTTTCAGGCCCCCACCCCCCTACCCGCAGCCCCGCCCAGCCACCAGCACCCCGGACCTGGCCAGCCACCGCCACAAGTACGTCAGTGGCAGCAGCCCGGACCTGGTGACCCGCAAGGTGCAGCTGTCAGTGAAGACCTTCCAAGAGGACAGCTCACCTGTGGTGCATCAGTCCCTGCAGGAGGTCAGCGAGCCCCTCACGGCCACCAAGCACCCGGGCACGGTGAACAAGCGCCACAGCCTGGAGGTGATGAACAACATGGTACGCGGGATGGAGGCAATGACGCTCAAGTCCCTCAACATCCCCATGGCTCGCCGCAACACCCTACGGGAGCAGGCCCCGCCGGAGGAGGGCCCGGGGGCGCACGAGGTCCACCAGCTTCCTCAGTATCACCACAAGAAAACGTTCTCCGACGCCACCATGCTGATCCACAGCAGTGAGAGTGAGGAGGAGGAGGAGGCTCCAGAGGCTGTGGCGCAGATCCCCGTGCTGCGGGAGAAGATGGACTACAGCGCCCAGCTGCAGGCAGCCTTGGCCCGCATCCCCAACAAGCCCCCGCCCGAGTACCCTGGCCCCAGGAAGAGTGTGAGCAATGGGGCACTGAGGCAGGACCAGCAGGTGAACCTCCCTCCGGCTGTCGCCAGAGCCAGGGTGCTGAGGCACGGGCCGGCCAAAGCAGTCAGCGTCTCCCGGGCTGATCAGCTGGCTGTCAACGGGGCCTCCCTTGGCCCTTCCATCTCGGAGCCCGACCTGACAAGCGTGAAGGAGCGGGTCAAAAAAGAGCCTGTGAAAGAGAGACCCGTGTCGGAGATGTTCTCCCTGGAGGACAGCATTATAGAGAGAGAGATGATGATCAGGGTAAGTTGCTTCCTCTCGGGGGTCCTTTTTTCCAAGTGATTCTTTTCCATGATTCAGTTTCAGGTGTGATGCTGTAGAAACTGAAGATTACACAGATTTATTTGCAGAAAATGCTAGGGTTTTTGTTTTGTTTCCAACTTTTTTATTCCAGTCACCGATTTTTATTAATGCCTCGTGACTTCTTGTTAGTCTGTCTACATATGGCAAATTAAAACTTCTAGTCAAAACCAAATGTATGTACAGTGCAATTATAAGTGCACATCACAAATGTAACAGAATATACCACAACGGTTTAACAACAGATTACATTTTTGGGGCTTTAAACAGTCACTTAGTGCTGATTTAGGTGGTAATCTGTTTTCCAAAAGCTTTGTTCTTGAAAGAATTCTCCATTTGCATTCCTGGCTTTTAACAGGTATAGGTCCTAACTGCTCTTATCAACTCAGAAGTCCAGTGTTGGTGTTGAGGTCAGCCCTCACACAGGTCGTTTGTTGTTTATTCACTGCTCAGATTATAGACTGTGTGGGTTGCTGGACACTCAACTTCCTCTGTCTCCTAGGGTTCTGGTTTTTGTTAAGGGGGAAAGAAAGCATAATTCCCCAGTTAGATATTACTTTATTTCCTTAGGTCTGCTGAGGCAAATAACTAGGTGATTTAAAACAACAAAATGTATTTTTTCACAGTTTATGTGGCTGGATGCCTGAAATCAGGGTCAGCTGGGTTAGTTCCTTCAAGAAGCTCTATGTCCACATCTGTTCCAGGTCTCTCTCCTCACTCCTGCTCGTTGCCAGCATTCCTTGATTGGTAATTGTCTCACTCCACAGTCTGCCTCTCCTCCCTTGATTTTCTTTCTTGTTTGCGTGTCTTCATACCTCCTCCTCATAAGGACCCCACTTTGTGGGTTTAGGGCCTGCTTCAATCCTGTGTGACCTCATCTTCTCTTGATTACATCTGCAAAGACCCTATTTCCCAACAAAGTCACATCAATACAACTGAGGGTTAGGACTTAAGCATCTCTCATTGGGCATATAAATCAATCTATAAGATATTAAAAAAGTAATGTCCCCTCAGAGAATAGCTTTCTATATGGATCTCTGTGTCACCAACACTTGCCAATATTGTTTGGGTCATATAGTGTGTCCAGCTCTTCTTTCAACAGATACTTAACACAAATTCAGGAGAATTATAGTCTTGGGAATCACTTGGAAGCTTACCATTGAGCTCCAGTTCCCCATTGAGCTCTTTCTATCAAAATTCACTCTCATGGTGGAATGATTTAGAAAAGTGTAGTGGTAATGATGTTATGAAGGTGATTAGTGTCACTGAATTGTGTGTGTTAAAAGTGACAAATGTTTTGTTAATATGTGTTTCCACCAGAAAATTCATGTAGATGCAGACACATATAACATTTGGAGGTGTACCTTAGTGTTAGCAGCTGATTGTTGTAGGACAATTGTGCAGGTCTTTGCTGCATTTACAGAGCAGTGATGTGAATTGACCTCTTACTAATGAGAATATTTCTGGACTTTGGTGGCTTCTGTTAAAAGTAGCTCAGCTCCATTGCTGTTTGTTTGTGCAGGAAGTTTTCCCTCCCTTAAGAAAAGTCACTTTTTTATAAATGCTGGTTGTGGTGTGCCATCGAGTCGGAACTGACTCGCAGCTGACCTTCCAGTGGGTGTTTAGAGGCAGTAAATTACACAGGAGGAAATTACCCATTCTTCTCCCACTTATTATAACTAATCACATTTGTATTGATGTCTACATGTCACTCACCACACTTGTTCCATAAAGTACCGAAACCCTTCAAGCTCATTACGACACTGATCCCTGGCTCGTGAAGACCAGATGCACCGCGGAGCAGAACTGCAGTCCACAGGGGTTTGGTTTTTGTTTTTGGGGTTTGTTTTTTTTTTTGTTACAGAAACAAATAACTAGGTCTTTCATGACCTGGACAGGTGAGTTTGAACCACTAACAGTTAGGTGAATAACCAAGTTCAAGCCATTTGTGCCACCCAGGAGCTTCCAGAACATGTAGAAAATCGGGAACACTGTCACTCAAAGTGTGCTCTAAATGGAGTTCCTGAGCCACCTTTCATTTCAAAGTCCCACCTAACTCACCTGGGGCAGTCAGGCTGGAATGAAGTCAAGGGCCAACATTTTAAGGACACCAAGTTCCGTTAAGGGGAGGAAGAAAAAGCAAAAACAGATTTACATTTAGAAAAACTTTAATAACATTCTCAACCTCACAGCTGTAGCCATGGATAAAGTAGTTGTGATGATTTGAGGCAGGCATAACTTTTTCCACTTTTGCAAACTTAAAGGAAACTCTGAAAGATGTGCCTATCCCTCTGGCAAAGGACAGTTTTGGCTGGGGGATGGAATGAAATGTGGGGGCAGGCTGCCCCTGGAGGGAGTGCCTTTCCTGCTTGGAAAAAGTAATTCATTGATATAAAGGGGTTTTTCAACAGTTCTTGGCCCCAGGTTTCTTACAAGCAGCATCACATCAAGGGTCTCCAAGTTTAAGTATTAAGCTTAGCTACTGCCTCTGCTACCAGCTCTTGCTATATATTTATGCCCACACGACCCCCAAAGCCATTCTGTGTTCTATTTGACCCCTTCCTTCCCTTTTCTCTTCACTTGATTTCCCCCTCAAATTTCCACAAATCATTTTTTATAACTGATGAAACTCAAATATAATAAAAGATATAATTGAGTAAAAAGATATAATTGAGTAAGAGTTTTCTGAGTCTCTTCCCTTGAGCTATAGAACCACAGGACTGTTGTTTCCAGAACTAGTGCTTATTATGAGCTTTGAAAGGAGGGTGAGCAAATAAAAATAAAAAATAAAAAAAATAAGGAGGGTTATAAATAAAAAGTTTACCCGTATAAAAAACAAAAAGAAGAAAACAATCATAAAAATGAGTATTTACATCCGTTCTTTCATCTGGAGGGTTCTGGGGACTGAGAAACTGAGGCCCTTCTTAGTGAGGGTTGCCTTTTTGGCTTCAAGTCCTCTGGGTCTTTTCTGCCTGTGACTCCTCCTCTGAGATGCTCATTTGAGTCTGCTCTGTCCCTGGAGGGAGCATCGTGTGGGCAGCCTCACTTTTAAGGGGTGAGCTCCATATTGGTTATACATGGCCCTGAGATGATGAGATACATGCAAGCATGAAGTTCCTCTCTGCCCACTATCAGCATGAGCCAGTAACCCTGTGACTTACCACACACCAAGGCCCAACAAATTATCCTGTAGAATAAATTTATAAATGACAGAATGGGGCAGGGGCAGGGTGGACCCCTTCATCTTGGGCCACCTGATGAATCTGCAGATGGGGTTCATGTTGGTTTGGAACAAAATCTTAAAACTCTGTTAAAACTGTCTGTGTCACTGCTTTATGAAGAAATCTGTTCTTTAACTCCAAAGGTGAGGACATTTTCAGGAAATGGTTTTATTGATTTGTCTGAAATGGCTAAGAAGAAATGTTTCCTATCTCACTCAGTTTAGTGGGCATTAGAAAGTGTAGCATTGCACCTCCAAACCAGTGCCCAGACTGACCCCATTTCAGATTATAGGTGCAGGTGTCCCATACATGCCGCAGGGTCATTGACTTCATTGTTCATTGATTCTGATGTCAGTGAAAAATAACTTTTTGTTTGTTTGCCTTTTATTATCTTTATAACTTTACCTGTCAGTATTTTGAATAGTTAATCACTAATTTGAACGTCTTCAAGTGAACATCAGAGAGGGATAACAAAAGCAAAATATGACATTATTAATAATATTTTCTTTTATTAATAGCAATAGCAGATTAGTAAGCATGGTTGGGATTGGACGTTAAATGCAATTAATTGTAACTCAGATGAATCGTTAAGTAGAGGACTGCTGATATAGGAAGGATTGCAAGAATGGAAATGGAGAAAAAACAACCACCCTAAAAATATAATCCAGGCATAAAGACAGTAAAGTAGCCCATCGTGGTTTATTTGCTTATCTCCTCCTAGCATATTCGTCTGTGCCTGGATCACATTCAATGACAGATCACCGTAGTCATAGTACCTGTCAATTCCTTTGAATGTGGTGGGAAAACCCCATTTTCCCCTGTTGAGAAATCTCAGAAGATGCTAGACTTTGGTGGTAGTGCATATCCTGAGCTAAAACAGCTCTCATCCAGGGGACAATATTAGTAGTTAACCCAAGGCCAGAGATAAAATGCTGCATAGACTTCAAAATGTTAGCCAGTCAGGAGGAAACCTTGTGAAGGTGGTCCCTGCCATTTACATTCCTGAACCTCTCAGTCAGCAACACACAAGTGCTTCTCAAATGCTACAACAGCCTGCGTGTAAGGACCATCATTGTGATTGGACTAAATTTTTGGTGAAACTCTATTTCTCTTTTCTTCAGCTTGTCTTCCCTCGGTAGTTATTTTCCTAAAGTATCTGGTTAATGCCTTTTTTTTTTTTTGGTGAGTGCTATGGCAGAGCATATTTGTGTGGAGTCTTTTCTCTCCTTTTATTTAATATTTAATAAAAGGTGAAGCTCTCTATAGAAACTGGCTCCTACAGGCACAATAGGAAGAATGGAAGGCTGTATTCGAGTTTTCCCTATGAGAGGTGATTGTCTGCATTCCTTGGCCAGAGAGTTACAGATTTGGGGAGATTAAAACACATTCCAGCATTCTACTGGTATTATAAACAATGAGAACATGCCTTTTCTTGCTCCAAGAATCTAGAGAAGCAAAAGATGGCAGGCCTGGAGGCGCAGAAAAGGCCCCTGATGTTGGCAGCACTCAACGGGCTCTCAGTAGCTCGGGTTGCTGGGCGTGAAGAGAGTCGAGTTGAAGCCGCCCGAGTTCACATCGACGAGAGGGTAAGTGTGAGTGTGATTTGTTCCCTGAGGTCTCTGGCTTCCAAAGCTCTCCCCTTGCCCCACTATGCCAGCTCTAAGATTCATGTAATGAATTGATTCTTCAACTTGAAAATGGTTTGGCCTAAATATGTTTAATCAAGCTAATCTTTTCATGCATACTTTGTCCCAGTTTTCCTGCTTTGTCATGTTGGTGCAGTGCTGGTTTTTAAAAAAATCAATCCCTTCATTGTAAAAGGAGCAGAATCAATATGAGGTTGCCCGAGTCTGGCTTCTGTCCACTTCACAAAGGGGAACTTTCCTTGTCATTAATATGCATAGTACTAAACAAATAGCCATGGGGTCAGACATGCCACCCACCATGCTCTTTGCACCTATTTCTATGAATCGTTGGGTCCAATGTGTTGCAAATTGACTCACAGACTTTACTCATAGTTGTAAGGTTTATTAGGGTAATAGATAAGGGAGTGGAGGAGGCAAAGATTATTACACAGTGCAAGCCCAGGTTTAGTCCAGCAGTCCTAAGCCAGATTAACAGTAAAATACAATTCCTCAATTAGTTCAGATAGCTTCTCAGTCAATGTTGAGGTTCAGTTTAGCAGCACAAAGAAACCTCTGGTTTCTTCAATTGCACAGCAGACTTTATCTCAGAGCAGTTAAAAGTCATCTTTTCCTTCAATCATCCACCAAGGAAACCTTTAATTGTGGCTCCATCTCCAGGTTTCTCTCGTTACACTTTGCCACCTGTTCATAGCAGTCCCATGGTCTCTTCACCTTCTCTCCACCACTGGCTCTCACATTTTCACAGACCCTGTGCCCCCTCCCCCAGTGTGAGAAACACTCTCTTATATTGTTCCCACAGCTGATTTGCAAGACTGCAAATTTGATGTCTGCAGTTAGGGTAGCTGGAGACCATGCACCCAACAGGGGCTAGGAAAGCCAATTATTAGGGTTTCTGACATCATAATATGTTTATCAATTTCATCTTTATCACTTGGTAATATTTTGTGCCAGTTTCCCAGTTTTGTTACTTTAAAAAAAAATCAATCCCATTACTGTTAAATCATTGGACTCATAACAACTCTATAGGACAAAGTTTAACTGCCAACTATAAGGCCATAAATCTTTGTGGAGACAGACCACCATATCTTTCTCCCATGGAATAGCTGGTAAGTTCTGCCAGCCTTTTGGTTTGCAACAGAATATTCTTTGTCTAAAAAGACTAGCCCCTAACAAGTCTTAGGACCTTAGTCACTTTGTTCTGTTTCTTTGAGCTTGGTTCACTTCTGCAAAATAAAGACGACAGATTGTTGCTGTGGCTCTCAAATGTTGGGATTTTTGTCAGTGCTAATAATGTAAAGAGTTTCACATTTCTGCCACTGTTGCTCAAATATTAGAATGTTTTCAGAGCCAGAAGGGATTTTAAAAAGATGATTTAATTAAATTAATAGCATGTTATTAATAGTGTGTTTCTCCCACCACCCCCCCGCAAAAAAGAAGACTATATTAATCCTAAGAGCTATGGAACTGTGGACTGGTATTGTCTTAAAATTTATCTTAATAAACACAGCTGTGATCCAAAAAATTAAACCCACTGCCATCAAGTATATTCCTCTTCATAAGGACTCTTCATTGTGCTTGTCAGGCTAAGAAATTTTAAAAGAAGCAGACTGCCCATCTTTCTCTTGAAGAACAGCTGGCAGTGGATTCAAACTGCCTACCTTTTGGTCAGCAGCCTGATGTTACTCATTACCCCTCCGGGGCTCCTTCAGCTATGACAAGTTGTTGTTGCTGAGTACCGTAGAGTTGGCACTGATACGTACCTGACCCTCTGGCACGTTTTCAGAGGCAGTAGATTCATAGGGAGTAGATTACCCATCCTTTCCCCACAAAGCAGCTGTTGGATTCAAGCCATGTGCCTTCAGTATTGTAGCACAGCTTCTTACCACTAGGCCACCAGACCTCCTCAGCTATGACAAGGGAAGAAGGAAAGAAGTGCTTAGATAATGGAAATTACCCATCTCCATTAATAAAAATACTAATTTTTAATGTCAACTATTATTACCAGTTCTTCCAGATTTGTATTGTTTAAAAATGATGAGTGAGACAGAACATGGTTCTCAGATGGGAAATGAGCGATAAAAGTAATGATCAGACTAAAACCCAGAAAAGGATTAGTTAGTTGCACATCTTGACGTTCCTTCTTAGCGGCGGCATTGTAAACATTTAAAGCTATCTAGTTGCTTCATTGGAATTTTTGGGTGAAATAATTCAGAGAGCTAAAGACTGGTCTCCTGTTGCAGTTCAGAACCTTGAAGAAGAAGTTGGAAGAGGGAATGGTGTTCACGGAGTATGAACAGATTCCAAAGAAAAAGGCTAATGGCATTTTTAGCACGGCAGCTCTCCCAGAAAATGCCGAGCGAAACCGGATCCGAGAGGTTGTCCCCTATGAGGAGAATCGAGTGGAGCTGATCCCAACCAAAGAAAATAACACTGGTTACATCAATGCCTCACATATCAAGGTAAGAAGGGAGTGTGCTGGGGAGTGTTAACAGGGCTTCTGGGTTAGAGGTAACAATAGCACAAGAACAGACCTATTGTTTGGGCTGTGGTTGTGCTTCTTGGGATGACCTCAGGCCTGTAGGGGATGATCTAAAACCCTTCTGCTTTCCTTAGCCTGCTGGACGGGCATGCCCATTGCTACAGAGAGAGGTCTAGCAGTTCCAGGAAAGAAAGTCTCAGGTTGGGTTCTCCTGAATTCTGTTCATTAGAGAAGACTGAGCTTTTTGTTCTCCCTGTGGGCTTGTAAAACACCAGACCACAGTTGCCATTACATTGGTATGTTGTGCCATGGCCACCCTGTGGGGCTAAGAGTGGCACTGTGCACTGTAGGGTTCACAATGGGTGATTTTCCGACTCGTGTTCCAGGCATCTGGTGGACTAGACCCTACAAACGTTAGGTTTATTAACCGTTAATGCTACTCAGACATATAACTTCCTAAACTTACTGGAAAAACTGAAGATTATCCCTTTCCATTTATTATTAGCATGTAATAGATAATTTGGAAATCTTAGTTACCATATTATCATATTTTAACTCTCCTGTTCTACATTTGTTTGCCCGCCACTCCTTGCCCTTGACTCACCACAAGATATTTTTGTAAGAGCAGCTATGTCTTCTTCTTCTTTTTTTAAAACATGTTACTATTTTTAAAAATTATCACAGGACAGTTACACATACATAAGTGAGGGTAGGGTGGGAAAGAGCAGTTTGTAAACTAAAATAGAAGGTTAATGTTACCTATGCAAAAAAATACATTTCTGTCAGTACTGTTTTTATAATGTTTTACAGAAACTATTGATTCTTCCTTCTGTATAACACAGGATGTATCAGATTCCTGGTTTTGACTGCTATTTAGAGGAACAGACTAACTTAAACATAAACCTTAAAGTTGTTACTGATACTGAATCTTACAAGAAGAAAAAATTAAAAATTTGCTACATTACTCAGTAAATGAATATCATTAAATTTTTGGTATGATTCCAAATATTTCACATTTTGAGATCTTGACATTTCATAGAGTTTAAAATTAGCTTGGAAGACTGTTCTGTGGATTAGGGCTTCTAGAGTTCTTCCAAGTTTTTCTCTAATGAAATTTATAGTCTTTGGTTTTACTCCTAGGTCCCTGATCCACCTTGAGTTGGTTTTTGTATATGGTCTGGGTTTTGCTTGGGATTTCTACAGGTTATTTTTCAATTTTACCAACACCATTTGTTTAAAGGGCTGTCATTTTTGCACTTAACTGATTCTGACCGTTGCAGTGGAACAGATGAGAGAAAGAACTGTCTAAAATGAGTATATGATTAGGCATTATACGTATGACAACAGTCCAGAATAAGAGATATATTATTGCAAAGAGGACCTGGGACAGGGTGGGGGTGGGGGGGTAGGTAATTGTGCAATAATGAATAAATACATATTTTTTAAGTTAATTGGGGCATAGAGGAGGGAGATAAAATATGCAACGAAGAATGTATGAAAATTGAACTTCTCTGTAAATGTTTGTTAAACTCACACTTAAAATTTTATTTAAAAAAATTAGCATAGCTTGACTCTAGTTAGAGTTGTAAGGCATTCTAGTGGTGCAGTGTGTTGTGCTAAGTGTTAAGGAAAAGGCTGTGCATGTCCAATGGTTCAAATCCCCCAGCTGATCTCTCACAGAAAGATGAGCAGTCGCCTCCTGGTAACACTCAGAGTCTGGGAAACCTGATGAATGGTCACTATGAGTTGGAATCTGCTCAGTAGCAGTGAGCTTACATTTGTTAGCTGAAATTCTAGATTAGAGGTAGGGATACATGTGTTTAGCTAGATATTTCCTAAAAAACTTATCTTTCTTAATATCTCTAGTTATAGCATGCATTTTTAATGACCCTATTTGTTCAGAAATTTAAAATAGGAAAACATTCAAATATCAATGTTATATTATTTGTTTTACAGCAACACAAAGTTAACATTAATAGTCCTTTGGGATCAATAGTTGTAGAAACCTCAGGATCATTTTCCTTTTTTTCTGGACTTCCTCAACTGTAGGAGAATTACTGATAAATTCCTCTGAGCCTCTAAAATATAGGGGACTGTCTGGTTTATGTATCTGTAACTGATTTCAGTTGAGAATATGAGAACTAAACTGTTGGTGAGCGTATTATTTTTTTAAGTCAGATCATAGATAACTACATTTTTAAAAATTTATTTTATTAATTTTAATGAACATTTACAGAGAT